TAGAATGTTTTCGCTGAAAATTTCTATTTTTAACGCGTTTTAAATATTTAAAAATATGAAAGCATTTTCAGACAGAAACTTTTTTCTGTAAACAAGGTGAAAACAACAGAAAAATTATAATATCTTTAAGATTTTTTTATCAGATGGAAAAAATACAGGGTCTTTGCCACTAACTCGGATATTCTAATCCCAATATCTTTGGAACCCAATGTCGTAAACCTTTGATATTTCAAACTTATACTATTTGATCTAACAAAAGTCATAGTTTGAAATGACAAAGGTTTACGACGTTGGAATACAAAGATATAGGGATTAGAAAATCAGAGTTTGTGGCAAAGACTCAATTCCTTTCTTGGAATTTTTCTTTATTGTTTTGATCTCAAAACATCTGTTCTGTTCGAATATATTTTATATTCTATTTTACTAAGATTTTGAAAAATGTAAACATGAATTTATTTTGAAATCTAATCGTCAGGAGAGCTCTTTTAATTCTTTAATGTATTCATTTTCATTTAAATTAATTCTCATTTTAATTTATTTTTTCAAATAAAATTCTGTTTTGCCGCTGAGCGTGCATGCTTTTAATTAGCATTATCAAATAGTTAATTCTCACCCTTAATTCAAACTAAATTATACTTTAGATCTCAATTGAATTTTTTGAAGAAAATTCCAATTATTTTCTTTTATACAAACAAACAAACAAAGTCTAAATAATTTAAGGCTCTCGTATTTGGCAAATTTTAATTTCTAAACGCTGCCTGATTTTCTCTTTAAGGAAATACATTTGGAAAATTGTGGAAAATTTTTTATTTTGTTTTGTTTAGTCTTTTAGTCTTTAAGTCTTCTATATTTAATCTTTTATTTTTATCTTTCATTTTTTATTTTATATCTTTTTTAGATTTTGAATTTCTTCACAAAACGCACAATGGGAACCCAGCTATCCGGGAGACTAAATTTTCTCTATAAAAATTAACTTCAACTTAAAATTCTTAAACCAAACTATGAGCATTACCGTGGATGTACCGAGTTCGTCAATCAATATTTGGGGTTCACAAGTTCTGATCGGAATTACAAACAAGAAAACAGAGATGAAATCTTTCTATACAGTCCATCTCAAATACATATTAGATTACATTTTGAATGACAAAGTTTATCATAAACAAATCCGTAAGTTAAAAGATTGTTGAATTGTAGACCAAAACACGTTTAATTCCTACTAGGAGAAACCGAATATCACCATAGTTTCAGTAGAAGTAAATACAGGGAATAGGAATAAAGGAAAAGGAAATGGCGCTGGTCTGGCATGAGAAAGCCAGTCACACTGCTTTGCAGACAAGATCGGTAAACCTTACACACACTCTTTTGGTACAGACACACAACATGACTACAGTCAAGGAAATTGCAAAACAATGTCGTCAATTATAATTAAGCTTGAATAACGAGTAGTTTATAGTAAACTTTAATCAAATTATATTTTTTCCATGAAAATTTGGCTTATAGTGTTAACTTAAATATATAAATAATATACTATATGTATATTATACTTTTTTTAAGTAAACAATTAACAATAGACAAATGTAATCTCCTAGACTGTCAAATAAAGAGATTCTTATGTACTGTATATACCTACAGTACACACCTTCGGGTCGGTAAACTTTACACACACGCTTTTGGTACAGACACACACACATGACGTTTCCGCCCGCTGAGTAAATATTTCCATTTACTGATAGCGCCGATTAAAGGATTCATAACTCTGATTGGATATTGAGAGTCATAGAAAGATAGATGTTAGCGCCTAGCTATCTCTATTGGTTCAGAATAGACAACAAAAACATGACTGAACCCTGATTGGATAAGGCGCTAATAAAGCGGCATACAGGAGTGTCTAATTCTTCTCACTCTGGTTAGTCCGGGGTGTACTTGACACAAAAATTCACCATTAGATAAAAGTGAACATTAGATAAAAGTGAACATTAGATAAAAGGGAACATTACATAATAAGATAAAGTGATCGGAATTATTTCTAATCCTAAAGATTATTGAAACGAGAAGCTAGATCAAGCATTGATCTCAATATCCACAATTCTAAAGTTTTCAGCTCAGAATTTAAAACTTCTTGATAATTTATTGTTTTAAATCAACTTGTTTTTTTATAATTCTTTTCAGCATCTTTTATAGGGATTTGGAAATTAGACCAAATTGACCTAATTAAAGAGTTTCAGATAGTCATTGAAATCTCATCCTTTCTGTGTAACCCTGTGTAGAAACACCAATTTATTTGTATTTTTCAACAAAAATAGAAAATATCACAATTTTCGCAGCTTTGTTTACTTATGGTTATGTACTCAATTATACACTTAGCTTTTTAAACAAAAATATTCTTTACATCAATACAATATATACAATACACAAACATAAATATATAAAGTATAGACAGACAGCACTGAACACAAACGTCCATAAGATCGTCTTTGATATCTAATTGGGCATAAAAAGGCCATAAAGGTCAAGGATTGTATCAAAAAAGGTCATAAACATTTCTGTATTTTAGAAATTAATGAAACTTTTAGATATTGAGACAATTTTGGTGAATTAACATCTTATAAAATTACTATTTGATTTTCTATCTTGAAGATACAAAAATAGATGAATAAATATGTATTTTGGAAATATCAAGACCAAAAATTATTGATAGTTGGCTCAACAGTATTGCTATTATTATGTTTATTGGAAAATCTACATATCAATAATTACATATACATAAATATTTACATACATAAGAAATCAGAATACAAACATCCGTTGTGCGGATTAAAAATGTTAGCGGGTTGAATTTGGACCTCAACCCACATGTCTTTGAAAAAACCGTTGACTGATGAATATTTTCTAAATATGTATAATTAAGTTAAAGAAAAGAATTTCGCGGATTTTATAAAAAAAAATTCGCGGATTTTCAAGATTTGAAATTTTTTCCCAAAAATAAAAAAAACTTAAACACTTTCATTTTTCAAATTCAAATTTTGAGCATTCATGAACCTTCCCTTGGGGCACGTGAGGTCCCACACATAATTTGGGCCCGATCGGTTCAGCCGTTTTGACGTTTATTGGATACAAACGGACAGACAGACAAGCCAAATTTATGCATAGTTAATAATTGCTTTAAAGACATGGTTTTCTTTGATCCACCCTTATAGTTTTTACAAACCTTTATGTAGCTAACGAGTCTGTAATCAGAAATAAGTGGATAACACCATCATAGATATTCATATTTATATTTGCAAACAAACGTTACTGTAGATAAATCTACGCAAACGTTAATATAAATATTTACAAGCTTGAAAACCCAGCTTTACCTGGAAACTGTTATCCTTAGAACTTTACATATTTAACTAAAAAAACATTCTAAAGGTTCTACCGATTCCCCAATCAAAATTTGAGGCAAATCGGTCAAGGGGTTCCTGAGTTATGATCAGACTTACAAACAAACAGAGATTACTGCTTTTTTATATAGATATCAAAACATAAAAATAGAAAATTCAGAATTCATAATTATAGAATCTGTGAAACCGTTAAAATTAGGAATTTTTTTTAAAAAGGAAACCCCGGATGTAAACGGGAAAATTTCTGAATTATTTAAAGAATGTCAAGGTTATTGCTAGTATAAATTTTTAGACTGTGAGATTGAAAGTTAATAAACAACTTTAAGTGACAATATTACAATAAAACACTTTTAAAATGATTTTGATATTTCCCCGATTTTTATTAAGAAAGATAAAATTATGCTGAAAAAGAAATGAACAAAACAAGACTCTTAATTGTCTTCTGACAGAAGTAATATATTTTTGAGAAGAAAATAACTGATTATCTTTTATGTACGCTGTACACTGTACAAAGAAAATAACTGATTATCTTCCATGTACGTTGTACATTGTACAATCATAAAGTTTTTGTTTATTAAGATATTGACTTGATTTTAACGCCAATTTACAGAAAATAAACAGGGATTTATTTTCTGTAAAAAAGTAAAAGTCCGCAGAGGCAGGGCTGGGCACGCTCCAACTTTTTAAGCCGTCTCGTTAACGGTTAGTTCCAACCGATTTTAAAATAAAATTTCAGGTATCCGTTTGTTCCAGACGGTAAGAACAAAACTTCGTTCCGTTAACGGTATTTTCCGCGGCTTAAATTTCGATTATAAAAAAATGCCGGACAAAAAATAATGGTGAATTTTGACATCATTTGTGTTCGGGCGAAAAAACTATGTGTTTTACCTTCCCTCCCTCCTGGTGAGCTGAGATACCTTCCCTCCCTCGTGGTGAGCTAAGATATACTTAGAATAATATTGTTCTAGATTTAATGAAGATTCCAATTAAAATCTTCTTTTCTCCAACTCATGGATAAACGTCAATTAGTCTGAGTTTAAGGGACTGTAGACGTAGTTTCAAGTCCGATTCACAATGGTACCCTTAAAACCTAACGGACAATGAGGATGATATCATCGTTTTTCTATTTGAAAAAGTGTTAAACTCAGACATTTTCCTAACTGTTCCTGCAAAATAAATAGAGAATTCTCAATTGAAAGTAATTAATAATAGCTAGTAAACAAGGATACTAGATCAAATTAAAACGGTACTGTTGTAAATCGGACATCTCACGCAGATCTGTCGCTGTAATAAAAGTAAATTCAACCTATAGAAGTGTAAAGTCTAACCGCGTCAACCTTGTTGCACCAGCTAGTCCTGTAAACAGAGCTAGACCAACTTTGTTGACCCCTGCCAGGCGGTACAGTACAAACTGAGACCGGAAAGGTTGACCCGGCTCGGAAATTCAAATGTACTTCGGCTGCCCGTGATCTGACTCTATAAATAAAATTGCCTAAACAGCCCCTTTAACCATCTCGTATTTGGTTTGAAATTCTAATTTTGAAGAATTTATTAAACCAAACTTTTCATCGTTTTAGAAAAGTTTAGAAAAATAAAAAAGTTTGAAAATATTTTTAGATAAATAAAAATGTTGGAGAAAGGATTAAATACGTTTAAGAGTCAAGATTTAAAAAGAATAACAGGATATACTATTCAAGAGCAGGATACAGGTACAGGGACAGGATACAGGATACATGTACAGGTTCTGGTTCATGATACATGGTTAGGTACAGATTTAGGATACAGGATACATATATTTATTAAGCAAAAAAATTTAATTCCAAGTTTATAGCCAAGTTTCTAACAATTTGTTCAGAATTATGATCAAAATCATTTCATAGCAAAGAAAACTGGAAAAAGGAAACCTTTTAAAGAAATCATTAAGGACCGTTGATAGAAAAAAATCTACAGCATTTCCAAGCGGATAGGGATGATCCATTAAGACTAAGTTCTTTAATAAAACCATCTTAATGAAAAGTAGAAAATTTCTGATCTACAGAATGCATAATTAATTAGCATGATTACGCATTTTTTCTGAAGCAAGTATACAGTAGGATACAGGTATAGGACTAGAATGCAGATAAAGAAGTAGGATACAGGTATATGAGTAGGATACAGATTTACGAGTAGGATTCTAGTATAGGAGTAGGATACAGTTTTATGAGTAGGATACAGGTATATGAGTAGTATACAGGTATAGGAGAAGGTTACAGGTACAGGAGTAGAATACAGGTGAAGGACTAGGTAACACAAGGAGTAGTAGGATACAGGTATATGGGAAGGATACAGGTTTAGGAGTAGGATTCTAGTATAGGAGTAGGATACAGTTTTATGAGTACAGGAGTAGAATACAGGCATATGAGTAGTTTACAGGCATATGAGTAGGATACAGATAAATGAGTAGGATACAGGTGAAGGACTAGGATACACATGCAGTAGTAGGATACAGGTATATGAGAAGTATACAGGCATAGGAGTAGAATACAGATAAAGGAGTAGGACACAGGTGAAGGACTAAGATACAGGTGAAGGACTAGGATACAGGTAAAGGACTAGGATACACATGCAGTAGTAGGATACAGGTATATGAGTAGGATACAGGTATATGAGTAGGATACAGGTATATGAGTAGTATACAGGCATAGGAGTAGAATACAGATAAAGGAGTAGAATACAAATAAAGGAGTAGGATACAGGTATATGAGTAGAATACTGGTATATGAGAAGTATACAGGCATAGGAGTAGAATACAGATAAAGGAGTAGGATACAGGTATATGAGTTGAATACAGGTATATGAGAAGTATACATGCATAGGAGTAGAATACAGATAAAGGAGTAGGATACAGGTATATGAGTAGAATACAGGTATATGAGAAGTATACGGGCATAGGAGTAGAATACAGATAAAGGAGTAGAATACAGGTGAAGGACTAGGATACACATGCAGTAGTAAGATACAGGTATATGAGTAGGATACAAGTATAGGAGAAGGATACAGGTACAGAATCCAGGTACGACAAGAAATTCATATCTTGGGACACGAAAAGGATGAAGAGGTACTTCAGATGTTTTTGTAAGAACGGATTTATAATCTATTTAGGGTTAGAACTATCCGTCCCTGCTCCACCAGCAAGAGAACTCAGAGACTACCATAAGGTAATCCGAGATATTTCTCAACCAATCCTTCTAAACTGCATGCATAATTTATTCTTCTCTTCTTTACACTCTCTAGGCCAAACATACATCACAAGGATTAAATCTGTCTCAAGCTAGAATTGAAAAAGAAAAGAAAAAGTTTGAACTTTTGTGTTTAAGCAATGTAAATCTGGGAAAAAATAATGTAAACCTAATTTAGAACACAAGGTTATGAAAAATATTTTGAAATAAGAAAACTAAGAGTTTTACAATATGAAAGCGTCAAATTTTGAAATATCCAAAGTTTACATGATATTATAGGCTGCATCGACATAAAGATTAGAAAGGAATAGAGTTTTTGCCCCAGACTCAAAAGTTCTAATCACTTTATTTTTGCAATCTTATGGTGTAAACTTTTGATATTTCAAACTTAGATTCTTTGATCCAACTTGTGTATTTAAAAATACGGACTATATGTAATAATATTATCAATTATATCTAGAAAAAATGCAAAATGAAAATTAAATAATTATAACAGGAGCAAACCTGAGATTCTCAGGCTTCTGTGGGATATCGTCGTTTTCAGATTGGTTTCGTAATTATTTAATATGATCTGTTTAATACTACAACTTTAATATAAAATCTGGCATATGCCCGTTTTGGTATAATTTTGACACAGTTTTATGTTAATTTCTCGAGACAGGAACATAAGACAGATGTCTTATAGGTAACGTTTAAAACCTGAGACTCTCAGGTTTCATCCTATACCCTCTTTCATTTTTCCTTTACAGTCCCTTTAAGGGTACCTTTGTTAATCAGTTATTACCATCTTTGCATTGAGGGTCACTTGAAATTACGCTTACAGTCCTTTTAACGTAAGTAATTAGTTTCTTTCAATTATATTGCTACTGAATATTTATTTTCTCTGTATATTTGATATATTGTAGACTGAAGAGAAGGATTACAGTGTTTATATTAATATTTATTAGATCTCTTAGACTAGGATTTAGATAGAAGAAATAAGACTTCATTCAGAAGTTAGCTAGAAACATTTAAAGGGACTGTATACGTATTTTCTTGTGACATTATATTTGAAAAAGGAGTATTATCCTTTAAACTATTGTTTGGGGTAAAATGATGACAATATCCTCGTTTTCTATCTAAAAATTGATAGTTTCTAAACATTTGGAATGGCAGATTTTATACAGCAAAGTCAAAAAACAGAATTCGCCCCTTTTAAAAAAAGAAAAAAACGACAATATCTTCCACATTATTGATCAGGTAAGGGTTTAAAGGGCATGGTCCTCTTTAAATATAAGTTATGATAAAATTACAAAAATTGTCCCTTTAAGATAGAATTGAGAATAGAAGATATTCAGAATCCACCCTTCAAGTTTAAAGGATAGTAATCAGAGTTCAAGTTATGATAGAGAAGGAAGTTGCAACTTTAATCTATGAACATATTCATTAATCACATGGAGAAAGATTGGAAATGGAAAATTTTGCAATTATTAATATATTGAGAACCTTTAGAAATGGTTAGATGAAGAGGGAGGTTGCAACTATTAATATATGCAGGAGCTATGAACAAAGTTTCAAAGAGAGGGAGGTTGCAATTATTATTATATTTAGGAGTTATGAAATATGTGGGAGGTTGCAAATATTAATATATCTATTGAGGAGCTATGGACCAAGTATGGAAGAAAGGGAGGTTGCACCTATTAATATATTCAGGAGCTATGGACCAAGCATGGAAAAGAGGAAGCTGCAATTATTAACATATTCAGGAGCTATATGGACCAAGTATGGAAGAGAGGAAGCTGCAATTATTAATAAATTCAGGAGCTATATGGACCCAGTATGGAAGAGAGGAGGCTGCAATTATTAATATATTCAGGAGCTATATGGACCAAGTTTGGTAAAGAGGAGGTTGCAACTATAGATATATTCAGGAGCTATTTGGACCAAGTTTGGTAGAGTTGGAGCTGAAATTATAATGTATTCTGGAGCTATGGACCAAGTTTGGTAGAGAGGAAGCTATAATTATAAATATATTCAGGAGCTATGGACCAAGTACAGTAGAGAGGAAGCTGCAACTGTAAGAAAACTTACTACTCTTCAGCAAACACTAAGGTAGAGTTTTCATCCAAAAAATGTTATCAATCTTAAAGAATCTTAAATTGCCATTGCAATTTCACTTGGGCCTGCAATACCCGATTCTAAATGTACCCTTTAGCTCTTCATCAGATTTACAGTGAGGAAGATATCCTCGGGTTTCTATAAACTCTTTTCCATTTCTCTTGCTGCATAAAACAACAACTCACTAATTTTAGTTGAGAACCGCAATTGGAATTTGCGCATCAGTTTCGCGTTTTGCACGAAATTTTGCATCATTTTTTTATCAATACGAAACCAGGTTTGCACAAAATTGCGCAATCATTCGAAATAAATATTTTTTGGCACAAAATTGCGCAATCATTCGAAATAAATATTTTTTGGCACAAAATTGCGGATGAATACATAATAAAAGTCATTATCTTTGCATGGTTTTGCACATGAATACAAAAAAGTAATATTTGTTTTCTGACATATTGCTCATATATATAAGAGATTTAAATATTTGGACAGTATATGATGTGAATTAGTTTCAGTAAAAAACATCTTCCATATCTGCAGTATTTTATTCATGAACAATAATTTCATCATTATCATTTTCTATAGTTTGACACTGTAAAAATGTTGGTTACTTTCTTAAATAAAATTTGTTATGATAAATATGTTTTGAAAAACGTTAAAAAGGTGTCATCACTAGATGTTCATATATGTATTAATCTATGGTAGAAGTGTGTACATTTCTCTTGTCTGTTACCTATCTCCATCGGCTGTACTTAATTGTCTTAAAATTAAATGTTGACTTACTTTAAACCTTAGAAGTGAGGCCACAACCAAAGGTGCGGATGAGAGCGGGTCGGAGTAAAGAGTGGAGCTCTGATTGGTTTCATTTTGGATTCATTCATTTTCTGGAATTGTTTCTCGATATTTAGCGAAATAGCTCGAAATAACGAAATAGCTCGAAATAACTAGATAGCAGGAATAACGAAATACGCAAAAACCAAAATTTTCATCATAATTTACGCGAAATAGCTTTTGCGCACTAATGTGAAATTATATAGAAATTTCGTGCAATTTTTACTCGAAACATAAGAAAATCTTTGCGCAATTATTGCACGGTTTTCGAGCAAAAAAATTCGATTGGAAACCCTATATTGATCAACTTTTCAATGGAAAAATATGGAAAACTCCATTATTTTAATCAGACAGCGGTTAAAAGTGCACTATTGTAAATCTGACTATAATTCTATAATTCGAGACTACGTGAAATTGCGTTTATAGTCCCTTTAAACTTTAATTTGTGAGTTCTTTATTGTTCCTAATTTTCTCTGTATATTTATTTTATGTTTCAGTTTATCATTAATTTTATTTTATTAGAGAACAACAGAATGCTCTCAGGGATTTATCTACTCGGAGTACTGAACCTGGTTTACTCCCAACCTTAGAACCGCATTCTACCATTCATCCATTCAAACTACAACGGGTCAAACACCTCACGAGGTAGTTTTTAAATGTTCAAAGTTTCTAAATACTAATACATTGTATAAGATTGAAATATAATTTTTACCTAAACTACATATCTCTAGGTAACTTTTTATCTAAAAAAGTTTAAAAGTATGATTTTGTTATTTGCTGATGACGCTTTTCAGAAAAGAAGTCAAAGTTGAGATATTTTTCAAATCTTCTTAATTCAAATACTCAAAACCGCTTCGTATGAAAATCCTGTTTGTCCCAAGGGAGGTTGAGTGTGTTCTCCGAAAAACACGAGTCTGGAACTCTGGACTGATCTCTGGGTTAGAACGGTGTCAAGCTCAGCTAGAAGATGAGCTTGAGGTAAAGATTAAAAGATTAAAAACTGGCATGGTTCGATTCAAAACAACTCTATAAACCTCTATCTTAGTATCAATGAGAGGAAGATAAGAATATTCCGGATCAGACAAAGGTTTAGAGGGTACCGATGTGAATCGACCATGCCATTCTAAAAATGTAGTATCACTTAAAATTACGTCTTAAGTCCCTTTTCTGTAAGTATTGAACTTCTCTCCAGGTTGTGGAGCAGCAGGTTGCCAAGGTTAGGATTGAACCTGTTCCTCCGGATAAGAATAAGAGAGATGAAGATCCTGGAGAACCTCAGGTCGAAGAGGTTCAACAGGTTTCTGATGAGAACTTCCACTCCTGGTTGTGTAGACATAGAGGACTCTCAGGAGGATGGACTCCAGAGGATCATCTAGTCATGGTTAAACTCACTCACAGGTACTACTTGAAAAGGTAGTTCCTGAACAAATAGATCTTTTACAGGTAGTTCAAGTAATGGATAGTTCTTGTACAGATAGTTCTTGTACAGGTAGTTCTTGTACAGATATTTTTTGAACAGATAGTTCTTGTACAGGTAGTTCTCGTACAGATAGTTCTTGTTCAGATAGTTCTTGTACAATGTACAGATCGTTCATTAACAGGTAGTTCTCGTACAGGTAGTTCTTGTACATACAGTTCTTTAACAGGTAGTTCGTGTACAGTTAGGTCTTGTATAGATAGTTCTTGTATAGGTAGTTCTTGTACAGGTGGTTCTTGTGCAGGTGGTTCTTGTACAGGTGGTTCTTGTACAGGTAGTTTTTGTACAGGTAGTTCATGAATAGATATTTCTTGTTCATATAGTTCTTGTACAGATAGTTCTTGAAAAGGTATTTCCTGGACAAAAAGTTCTTGTACAGGTAGTTTTGTACAGATAATTCTTGTACCGATAGTTCTTGTACATATAGTTCTTTTACAGATAGTTCTTGTACAGATAGTTCTTGTACAGATAGTTCTTGTACAGATAGTTCTTGTACAGATAGTTCTTGTACAGATAATTCTTGTACAGATAGTTCTTGTACAGATTATTCTTGTAAAGGTTGTTCTTGTAAAGATATTTCTTGTACAGATAGTTCTTGTAGAGATAGTTCTTATACAGAAATGTCTTGAAAAGGTAGTTCCTGACCAAAAAGTTCTTGTACAGGTAGTTATTTTACAGATAGTTCTTGTACAGATAGTTCTCGTACAGATAGTTCTTGTACATATAGTTCTTGTACAGATAGTTCTTGTATAGATAGTTCTTGTACGGATAGTTCTTGTACAGGTAGTTCTTGTACAGGTAGTTCTTGTACAGATTTACTTTGTACAGGTAGTTCTTTACAGGTAGTTCTTGTACAGGTAGTTCTTGTACAGCTAGTTCTTGTACAGATTGACTTTGTACAGGTAGTTATTTTACAGGTAGTTCTTGTACAGATTGACTTTGTACAGGTAGTTCTTTTACAGGTAGTTCTTGTACAGATTGACTTTGTACAGGTAGTTCTTTTACAGGTAGTTCTTGTACAGGTAGTTCTTGTACAGCTAGTTCTTGTACAGCTAGTTTTTGTACAGTTCTTGTTTGTAACTGTAACTAGTTCTTAAAAAGTAGTTCTTAAACAATATATATATAAATATATATATAGTTTTAGGGATATCTTGATAGCTAATCTAATATATATATATATAGTTTTAGGGATATCTTGATAGCTAATCTAATATATATATATATAATTTTAGGGATATCTTGATAGCTAATCTAATATATATATATAGTTTTAGGGATATCTTGATAGCTAATCTAATATATATATATAGAGTTTTAGGGATATCTTGATAGCTAATCTAATATATATATATATATATATAGTTTTAGGGATATCTTGATAGCTAATCTAATATATATATATATATAGTTTTAGGGATATCTTGATAGCTAATCTAATATTTATATATATAGTTTTAGGGATATTTTGATAGCTAATCTAATATATATATATATATATAGTTTTAGGGATATCTTGATAGCTAATCTAATTGCTGATTAAAGAGAGAGTAAAGATAAACATTTAAATTAATTAGAAATACTTAATATACCAGTTAATTAATTAATGGGATTTATTTGGTTTCTTTCACCACTTATCTTTCAACATTCATCACTTTTTTCTCTAATCAAGATAGATAAGTTTTTATAAACAACTTTGCTACATCATAACTCGTATCTATATTGAATCTAACAATTATAAATTATTTCACAATCCCAAGCATTTAAATTTAAAAAATCTTCTGTAAATCTGGTAAATTTCTGTAAGAAAACTTTACACACGACAAACCTATCTAAAACTTAATTACACTTCAAAGTTTAAAGATTATTAAATTGCAGAAGAAAACACGATAAAATATGAAAAGAAGAAACAGAGCACATCTCTCCCTGGTTAGTTTAGGGTGTGCTCAATCCTACATAGAATGTATAAACCTTGTATACTGTGCAGGGACGTATACAGAAATATATTGATAGGTATGCAACATGGAGAAAGAAACCTGCCAGGTTTATCGAGGATATCTGGTCTGGAGTTAAAGCAGTATCATCTAGGGAAACCTTGATCCATCTCATAAAACTGTGGGATACAAAGACGACTAATGGACACGAGTTACGATTTTGAATAGTCCAACATGAAACACAGCAATTGTGCAGTGTACACAGAACCATTTACTTAATGAGCCGATTATTAAACTTATGGTAAAAATATTTTATTTAACATATATATAAGAAAAAAAAAAAATTCACGTCTTCCTTTTTCACAGTTTAATGGATCCCCCTGTAGTATTTATATATGGATCCTCCTGTAGTATTTATATATGGATCCTCATGTAGTATTTATATATGGATCCCCCTGTAGTATTTATATATGGATCCTCCTGTAGTATTTATATATGGATCCCTCTGTAGTAATATGGATCCCTCTGTAGTATTTATATATGGATCCTCATGTAGTATTTATATATGGATCCTCCTGTAGTATTTATATATGGATCCTCCTGTAGTATTTATATAGTTATAACAAAGTAGGATAAGGTCAAACCATTTGTGAGGTGAGGTTAGGGGATTAGAAAACATATGTAAATATTAGAGATTTGGAGAGAACGTTTGTTAGGCTCTTTCACTGCATTGTATTGTGAGAAATTAAGTCCTGGAAAGGTGTTTTCCCCTGAAGATCAGTTACAGAACTGTAATTGGCAATTTGATTATCATAATTCAAGTTACAGTGAGAGCCAGACATTGAAGCAATAATTAAGTAATTAGTATATTTGATGTTGTTACAAAGCAAATAGTTTAACTACAGTAACTTATTAATTCATTTAAGAAGTAAAATTGGTCACTGCACTATTGGACTATTTAAAGTGATAACTTTTTTTGTTGTCTTTATATTCTAGAGTTGCATGGATATCAGTGTATGAAAAAGGAGTTGAGTTTTTGGCATAAACTCTGATTTTCTAATCTCTATATCTTTGTATACCAATGTCGTAGACCTTAGATATTTCAAACTATTAATACTTATAGATAAAGTTATCTAAATTTGAAATATCAAAGGTTTGCACCATCAGGTTGCAAAGATATTGGGATAAGAAGATTTGAGTTTGTGGCAAAAACTCAATTCCTTTGCTCAAAACCGTTGTAAATCATGCATGTAACTCTTGAAATACAACAAGTCCCTTTTCTTCTGCTTGGAAAATATATTATTTTATCTATTGTTGTAAAAATATATATTTATATAAAATAATATATATTTTCCTGTCTATATTTAGTTCTAAATCTAGAGTGGTCCAACTCCCTCGGGTCAGGGCAACGGGGATTCAATTGCTTCATGCAATAAATTTAAGGGAAAACTGTACCAAGTCAATGAAAGGAGGTGGAGGGGGGGGGGGGTGATAAAAAATTCATTATTTCTACAATGTTTGAATCAAATTTTTTCTGTCTTTTTATTGGATCAGTATTTGGTATTCAACACAACGTTTACAATATGTCAAGATGACAAGATCTCAATGGAAATTTGAAGAATTCTAACCGAGTAAACTTAACTCTCAAGTTTTCCAACCACAATACATAGATATAATATAAACTAAACCTACAGTTTCACACAACAGTATTCACTCGTTTAAATACTATTTTTACTTCTTTATCAAATCTAAGATTATTAAATTTCTTTAGAAAGATGCATTTCCCTACTATTTGACTAAGGAGTAGCTTGGGAATCCAGTTTTACCCTTAAAGTCAACACCTGCACTCAACTTACAATTTTTAAACCAAGCTAAGAAAAAAATTTTTGCCTAAAATCAAAATTTTAGTCAAATCAGTTCAGGGGCGCATGAGTTATGATCGAGCATACAAACGAAAAAACGAACACCAAAACAAAGATTACTACTTTATATATATATATATGGTATAACCCAAGAAGACAGACCGGTTATCTAGAAAAAAGTAGTTTCCATGAGTGGCACAGAAACAATTTCAGGCCTGCCGAAAAAAAAGAGTAGGTTAAGATCATGGTTCGGAATATGTTGCTTATCCAGGATAAGAGAAGAGAAGGTTAAGATCATGGTTCGAAATATGTTGCTTATCCAGGATAGGAGAAGAGTAGGTTAAGATCAAGGTTCGGAATATGTTGCTTATCCAGGATAAGAGAAGAATAGGTTAAGATCAAGGTTCGGAATATGTTGCTTATCCAGGATAAGAGAAGAGTAGGTTAAGATCAAGGTTCGGAATATGTTGCTTATCCAGGATAAGAGAAGAGTAGGTTAAGATCATGGTTCGGAATATGTTGCTTATCCAGGATAAGAAAAGAGTAGGTTAAGATCATAGTTCAGAATGTTTGCCTTCTTCATAATAAGAGAAGAGTAGGTTAAGATCAAGGTTCGGAATATGGTGCTCATCCAGGATAAAAGTAGAGTAGGTTAAGATCATGGTTCGGAATATGTTGCTTATCCAGGATAGGAGAAGAGTAGGTTAAGATCAAGGTTAAACCTGGATCAGGGAGGATGTTGCTCGCCATGTGGATTGGTACTCGGAGTACTGTCTTAGGTGAGAAATTATTTAAATTAAACAAATAATTAATTTTATTCGATACATTCCGGATAGGTGTTAGGTTTTTTTTCAAAATGCATTTTACTCAGGGTGACTTTCCAAGTGGCAACTTCCCATATGTGCAATTTCCCAAAGGTTAGGTTAGGCCTTCTGAGGCACCGCAGGCTATAGTGTATACCGAGCGCTGAAGTTATAACGGGATAGGGGCCGAGCGCTGAAGTTAGAACGGGATAGGGGCCTAGCACTACGGCTAGGACAGACTTGGAAAGTTGCCGCTTTGGAAATTGCACAGTTGGGAAAATACCCTTGGGAAAATACCATTGGGAAATGTGCGCTAGGGAAAAAGTCTGTGAGAAAGTACCTTACATCTCCGGCACGTGGATTTATCGGTTCTGTCAATATTTCAGAAAGCTGTGACTTTCGTTCACAATTTATCCCCTTATACATAATTTTTTAGCCTTTTTTCTTTAAATAATTTTTTGTTGGCATATACATTTTGAATGAAAAAGTATGAAATAAACAAATTCATAAGTTTAAAGATTGTAGAAATATAGACGAAAACACGTTTGATTTAAAATAAAAGAAACCGAATGCTTCTCCCTCTGGTTAGTCCGGGGTGCCGGATATACTAATATTATATTAGTTTCAGGTTATGTTAATTAAATCTTTACGAATATATGTACACAATACAATCTATCTCGTTGATGCAGAAATTTATGGAAAAATATTTTTAACAGTTTTTTATTAAAAAATCATTTTGTTTTTTCCAGAAGGGACAGACAAAAAAGTTTGATAGAGGATTGGAGGCAGAAGAGGTTACAACGTCAGCGATCTTTCAGGTTTTTAATAATATTTACATTATATATATATATCGGTAGTCATGGAATTCCTCCCAACAGGATTCCTCCCACGGGACTCCTCCCAACAGGATTCCTCCCAAATGGGATTCCTCCCATGGGATTTTTCCCACACCTAGGATTCCTCCCACACGGGATTCCTCCCATGGGATTCCTCCAACCACAGGATTCCTCCCACAGAGGATTCCTCCCACACAGAATTCCTCACACATGGGATTCCTCCCACACAGGATTCCTCCCACATGGGATTCCTCCCACACAGGATTCCTCCCACACAGGATTCCTCCCACATGGGATTCCTCCCACACAGGATTCCTCCCACACAGGGTTCCTCCCACACAAGATTCCTCCCACAGTTGTTAACTAAGGATCCACATCTGATAAGATCCCTGCATTTGATTATATTATAGTGATCATATATGATTTAATACTTTGTCTGTCTGAACCAGCATGCACTACGAGGAGGTTAAGTATTTTAGCACGCCATTTTTCATTTTTTTTAGGAAAGAATATTTTAGAAGTGGAAGTATTTTTAAAAGATAGGAAATATTGATTCAAAAGAAAATTAGTAAACTAATCTAAAATAATTTTTTTATATAAATCTACAACTTGATTTTATAAAACATATTATTTTTTTTCTCATTTTTTATATTTTTTTATTTTTTTTTATAAATTCATCTTTAATATTTTTTTTTAATTTCTTCAATTTTTTTAAAATTTATAATTCATGCAAAGCTAAAAATGTTAGCAATTTGAGCTGAAAACTGCTCTGAGGTAGGCCAACTTGTTTTGGCTGGCCTGATAGGTACTGACTTTGGCAGCAAGTCTCTCTAATAGGACTTTATACTTTCGCCTGGCAGGAGGATTGTTTGAAGCTAGATTGTCAGCTGCTCCAATAAAGTATTAAAATATATACACTTATCTACTATGTATTCAGTGGGAGGAATTCTGTGTGGGAGGAATTCAATGGGAGGAATTCTGTGTGGGAGGAATTCAGTGTGGAAGGAATCCTGTGTGGGAGGAATCCTGTGGGAGGAATCCCATGGGGGAGGAATCCCGTTTGGGAGGAATCCCGTGGGAGGAATCCCGTGTGGGAGGAATCCTGGTGGGAGGAATCCCATGGGAGGAATCCCGTGGGAGGAATTCTGCATGGAAGGAATCCCGATGGAACCATATATATCTATATAATAAAGCTCTTCGCTCATATATATTTGTTTGTATAAATGTTAGCTATGGCTGGCCAAACGGCTGGACCAAATGGGCTGAAAAAATAGAATTTTTTCAAAAGAGCATATTTGTTTTTTAAAAGCTGTGCAATAACTAACTGAGAGTCTCTAACCTTCAAATATAATTTTTGCGGAGATTGTAATTTTTCTTGAATTATAATAAAACATCATATTTTTCATCCTAAGCCCGATATTACCTATAAAGGTGATAAATAAAAAGTTTAAGATATAAAACTGAACATTGTCTCTACAACCGTTTCTTAAGTTGCAAAATGCACCCTAGCTTTGTGGACAACAATTTCATGGACTGCCAGTGTAATTTTAAACAATAACATGGACTGTCAGTGTAATTTTAAACAATTACATGGACTATCAGTGTAATTTTAAACAATTACATGGATCGACTGTCAGTGTAATTTTAAACAATTACTTGGACTGTCAGTGTAATTTTAAAGCTTTTTGGACAACAATTACATGGACTGTCAGTGTAATTTTAAACAATTACATGAACTGTCAGTGTAATTTTAAACAATTGCATGGACTGTCGGTGTAGTTTTAAACAATTACATGGACTGTCAGTGTAATTTTAAACAATTACATGGACTGTCAGTGTAATTTAAAAAAATTACATGGACTGTCGGTGTAGTTTTAAACAATTACATGGACTGTCAGTGTAATTTTAAAGCTTTGTGGACAACAATTACATGGACTGTCAGTGTAATTCTAAACAATTCAATGGACTGTCAGTGTAATTTTAAACAATTACATGGACTGTCAGTGTAATTTTAAAATTACATGGACTGTCAGTGTAATTCTAAACAATTCAATGGACTGTCAGTGTAATTTTAAATGGCAATCCATTTAAAGGAGACATGCCCCATTCACAATGGTACTCTAAACTCCGAGTCCATTAGCCCCTGATCCAATCAGGGTTCAGTCATGTGTTTGTTGTCTATTCTGAACCAATAGAAATAGTATAGCGGTTACATCTATCTTTCTATCTATTTCATTATACAATTAGAGATATTGAATCCTTCAATCGGCGCTATCAGTAAATGGAAATATTTACTTCTACTGAAACTATAGTGTCGAAGACCTTGATCTGATCAATATCACAGTTTTTCTAGTTCGAAAAGTTTAATTCTGCCTAGCTTGCTTAAATTCAGTTCTGTACATCAAATTCTGCCTAGCTTCCTTAAAGTCAGTTCTGTACATCAAATTCTGCCTAGTTTCCTTAAAGTCAGTTCTGTACACTAAATTCTGCCTAACTTGCTTAAAGTCAGTTCTGTACATCAAATTCTGCCTATCTTCCCTTAAGTCAGTTCTGTACACTAAATTCTGCCTAGCTTGCTTAAAGTCAGAACTGTACATCAAACTCTGCCTAGCTTCCTTAAAGTCAGTCCTGTACACCAAATTCTGCCTATCTTTCTTAAATTCAGTTCTGTACATCAAATTCTGCCTAGCTTCCTTAAAGTCAGTTCTGTACACAAAATTCTGCCTAGCTTGCTTAAAGTCAGTTCTGTACACTGAATTCTGCCTAGCTTGTTTAAAGTCAGAACTGTACACTAAATTCTGTCTTGCTTCCTTAAAGTCAGTTCTGTACACTAAATTCTGCCCAGCTTCCTTAAAGTCAGTTCTGTACATCAAATTCTGCCTAGCTTCCTTAAAGTCAGTTCTGTACACTAAATTCTGCCTAACTTGCTTAAAGTCAGTTCTGTACATCAAATTCTGCAGCTTCCTTAAAGTCAGTTCTGTACATCAAATTCTGCCTAGCTTCCTTAAAGTCAGTTCTGTACACTAAATTCTGCCTAACTTGCTTAAAGTCAGTTCTGTACATCAAATTCTGCCTAGCTTCCCTTAAGTCAGTTCTGTACACTAAATTCTGCCTAGCTTGCTTAAAGTCAGAACTGTACATCAAACTCTGCCTAGCTTGTTTAAAGTCAGAACTGTACACTAAATTCTGTCTTGCTTCCTTAAAGTCAGTTCTGTACATCAAATTCTGCCTAGCTTGCTTAAAGTCAGTTCTGTACACTAAATTCTGCCTAGCTTGCTTAAAGTCAGTTCTGTACATCAAATTCTGCCTAGCTTGTTTAAAGTCAGTTCTGTACATCAAATTCTGCCTAGCTTGCTTAAAGTCAGTTCTGTACACTAAATTCTGCCCAGCTTCCTTAAAGTCAGTCCTGTACATCAAATTCTGCCTAGATGGCTTAAAGTCAGTCCTGTACATCAAAAGAACCGGAGTCCATGGTCTTTGAACCAGAAGTCATTTTAAAGAAAACACACAATTGAAAATATTCCATATTCAAAATATTTTTTGTATTCTTGTATTCTAGAAATCACAAAGCTGCAACTGTTAACGCGTTGTGAATCGGACAACAAGAATTGAAGTAAAATATGAATTATAATGAAATCATTTTATCAAGAAAAAGGAATTGAGTCTTTCCCAAAAACTTTAATCCCTATATCTTTGCAATCTAATTGTATACATATAAACCTTTGATATTATAAACTTAAACTATTTGATCTAACAGAATTCATAGTTTGAAATATCTACAATATTGGGTTGCAAAGAAGATGGGATTAGAAAATCAGAGTTTGTGAAAAAGACTGATAATTTCTTTAAAGTTTAGAAAAATTCCTGATTAAAATATTTCAGTGAACCGTCCCAACCAAAATTGCTGAGAAGGAGGAGTAGATCCGCCCACACCTTAAACACAGTGCAAACCAGGAACTCGGAGAAGATGAAGAAAATTCAAGAATGGAGAAAAATAAAACAGGTTCATTCATCCGCGAATTAACTTGAACCTTAAAAATGCCGCTCGTGGCTTAAATTAAACCTTAACTTTGATCGACAAGCAACAAATATTTAACCCGGAGCAATTCTCGCAGTCTCATAATGTTCTACTACTATTAATCATCATTCTCGTGATAATAACACATTTTTATGATGTCACATTTAACACTGAATTAATTATTTTACAGAACTTTAAAGCTATGACTTAAAACTCGCGAATTCTCTTTAGTTTTGGACTCAGGATTGAATTCAAAATTTTGGACCGAATTTATTGAATTTGAGCTACGTTGCTGAACTATCTGCTCGTTTAAATTTGGACCATTGATTCAAATTTGAACCGGCGGTAAGCAGTTACATTAATTCGGTCCCTTAGGTCTTTAAAAAATAAATACTCTTGTAAAAACCTTTGAGGTCTGAATATCGTATTTAACCTTTTTAAAAATCCCAAGTCGTATTTGCTGTACGGATTTCATCTAACTAAATCTCTGATTTTATACAGATCTAGGAACTTTTCAAAGAATGGGACTGATTTAAGTTAGTTCAAATGAGTTAATCATTTTGCTTTGGCCAAACCTAGAAATCTTGACTTTGATAAATAGCGTTCTTAATTATTAAAAAAATTAAATTTGTTTCACTCTAAAGTTTCCAGCTTTGGTGTCTCTGTTTATCCTGTCCTGATTTATCTCTGTGTACTCTAGGTCCGGAAGGAGATAGAGGAAACTGAAGAACTGCTCCGGGTAGCGGAGAAAAAGGTCAGATTTAGTCTTTGGTAGGGATGGGCACGGTCAAACTTTTTCTAGCCGAGTCGGTAATGGTTAGTTCCAAACGATAACAAAAAATTCAGGTAGCCGTTAGTTTTTAAGGAAAAAATGGCGTTTCCGTTTTTTAAAGTTAATGTTAATTAATGATCTCAATTCTATTGACGGCGTTAACAGAAGATATATTTTTTTCTCTATGTAAATCGTTAAAAGTTCCTTCATGTTAATACGGGGGGGGGGGGCTGAAGACGACATTAAAAAACATAAAAATACAATAAAATATTTTTTTTGGCTTTTATACAATTTTAATAACCCAACCGTTTCGTTTTCGTTTTCAACCGTTAATTTTTTCAAAAACATCTTATCCGTTTTTCAACGTAACTTTGGCCAGCCCTAGTCTTTTGTTCTCCTCGTGGGAAAATAGTACAGAGAAGGATTCACAGAATCCTGGAATAGAAATGTTTAGAAACTTTAGAAATATGAATACCAGGCATGCAAAGAAATTAGATGATCTAAGAAGGAGACTGAAAGTAAAGGGACTGTGACGCTAATTTCAAGTGACCTCTCATGTATCGGTCTCAATTTTTTTTATATAACTCACATGACTGAAGTCCCAAGGGGCCGGAGGTTTATGGTTGGTCAAAGTTGCAAAATTTTGCCGGAAAATAATTGTAGAAATTTATTAATTTTGAAAATGCACCAAACTAAACAAAAAATCTGCTAAATTTTGACTGTAAGCTTAATTATTACATGATATACTATCTCGTTAAGCTAGTATACTAGTTATAAAGCTGGTCTTCACATAATAAAAAATGTTCACCCAAACAATGAAAAAGGGAAATAAAAAATAGATAAACAAGTATTTCACATTGATAATGAATAAATTCCAGACCAAATATAAAGTTTTTATTTGATTTCTTTACTTTCCATCGGAAAAAGTGGAAAACGGGTTGTTTTTATCCTACTCCAACCTCGAAAAAACAGTAAATAACATATTCAGACAAACAAAAATGCTAGACCCCTTTAAAAATATTTTGAAAAACCACGATGTAAACCACAATGATGTAAGCCTGTTATTCAAACTTTGACTATTTGATCTCGCAGACCTCATAGTTTGAAATATCAAAGGTGAATTATTAGAGTTCGAGCCCAGTTGTCACAGTTTCTTTGTGCGTTCTAGATTCATGAACAGATAATATTAAAAATTTATCAAAAATTCAATTTCAACAGAAAAAATGAAGATTGTTAGATACTTTAATAAGTTTTAATTTGTCAACGAATGCTGGTTTACCTCGTTTAGTTTTACTAGCCTGAATTAAGGACTCCATGTCGATGCAAAATCTCTTTGTCAGAAGAAGGATTTTTTCTTATAACAATTGCGTATTATTTTTACTCTTCAGCTGTGAAGTGTGAATGTTCAAAGAAAAAGAAGAAAAAAGCTAAAAAAATAAGAATGAGTAGCCGAGGCTCAAAAATATTGTAGGAAAGTCTCCATAGCTCATAGAAATTTTTAAGATCTTTAATTTAAGATTTTTAAATAATTTAAATCAAAATCACTCTATGTAACGTTATCTTAGTCAGATGCTATAAAGGCAAACTGTTATCCTGACGAAATATGATATATAAGTGAAATGTTATCTATAGTAAAAAGTTTGTTTAGGTGAACATGTACTATGCGAAAGTGTACTAGACGAACATGTACTATGCGAAAGTGTACTAGACGAACATGTACTATGCGAAAGTGTACTAGACGAACATGTACTATGCGAAAGTGTACTAAGCGAACATGTACTATGAGAAATTGTACTAGGCGAACATGTACTTTGAGAAATTGTACTAGATAAAATGGTATTAAGCCTGAAATACAAGGATACAACTGACGGACCCGCCCTACTATATGATTTTACATGCTCTGTAGACAAGTACTCCATTTGTATAAGAAATATTGTATACCCGGTTATTCTACATCTGACAAATATTTCTTATTCAACTGAAGTACCGTCTGCAAAGAATGTATAATATTAATCATATGGTATATATGGTATTTTAGCTACGCTCAATTTAACAAACGCCTGGTTAAATAATTACTTTATTACTAAATTTATATACTTTAAATTCTAAAAATGTAAAAGATTTTAAATAGGTAGATAGGTGACGTGGCCGGAAATTGCTCTTCTTGCCGCGTCTAGATCTTAGGTTCAAAACTCCTCAGAAGTCTCGTCTTCCGCCACTACGCCGCCACAGTATGATTATATCTCCCTTCTATTCCATACTCCTTGCTGAAATCTATAGATGTAATTATGAACGGTATTAACGTCATAATTTTTAGTAAACATTTAGCTAAAGAGAACCATTATTCATAGAATTATATTTTAAGCCTTTAGAGAATCCAGTTTTTAGTCTGTAAAGAGAGAAAATGTAGGCAATCGTAATCCATGATTTGCTATCTAGAAAAGCGGATGTATTTAAAAAAAATTAAATATCAACAAAGCGTACAGAAGGTATCGATGTGAATAATTTTTGCACTCTTCAAGTAAAGGTTCTGAAATAAATCTCTACAATAATGCAGTTATACTTTTTTATATCTCAAAATGAAGTATTTTTCATTTTTTTTCTGTGTACAATTTACTTTAATTTTGATTGATTTTAATGCTGAGAAAAAGAAACAAAGCCCTTCCCAGCTGTACCATCATTAAGAAACTGAGTTCTTGCTACAAACTCTGTTTTTCTATTCCTTATATCTTTGCAACCTGCTGTTGTAGACCTTTGATAATTCAAACTATGAATTCCGTGAGATCAAATAGTTTGAAATATCAAAGGTTTACATCATCAGGTTGCATTAATATAATTATTGAACAATTTGAGTTTGTGGCAGGAACTCAGTTCCTTTGGTATGTAACAATGACAATATGTTAGTCCCTCTTAAGGCTCGACTCGAGGAGCGGCTTGAACGACGGAACTATGAACTACGGAAGTATCATCAGGAGAGAGAACAGCTGAAGAGGATAGAGAGGGAGAGAGAGGAGGAAGAAAACAAAATAAAAGAGATGGAAATCCAGCAGAGAAAAGAAATGAACAGGTTGGTAAAGATTGAGAGGTTTTCACACAGAATAACACTTTTATGAAGATCTGGAACTTTATCAGAAGTTTAAATTTGCTTTGTATAAAATACAGGTGTCCCAATAAACATTGGAATTCAGGTATGAATTCGATATCGTCTTTTCAAATAATTCTTTGATGTAGTATGGTGATACCTACTGAGATTGCTGTAATCTGTAAGAGTTTCGTCTGCTATGTTCACATTTTGTTTGTTTATGTTTTGACTGCATACGGCGGTACTTAGTTAAAACAAGAAAATTGCAGTCTACAAACAGTGTAAACTTGTCCGTCTTCACTGTTCATCTTGCGGAGACATTATAGACACATCTTTGCAGTCTAATTTACCCTTTTCATTAAAAAAAACTCTAGCAGACATAATAATACTATGGCTTTTGAAATTAGGTATTACAATGCAAATTCATAACAAAGACGATATCGAATTCATCACTGAATTTCCATGTTTTTTTTGGGACACCCTGTATGTTACATTTCAAGAAGATAAAGATGACAAAAAAATAAAAAGGCAACTGTGGCAAACCATTAAAAAGTTTACTTGTTATGAGTAACCCTGTCAGAAAACCTGTTGACATGTTTTAAAGCTCTTTGAGGTTCCACTTATTCTCTGCTCCTGATCTGAAGTGCTATTGACGATATTAACAAACATTTCTTAGTATTTTCATGATTAAACATTAAACAAGAGTCATTGTTATCTTAAATACTCTTTATTTGATTTTTACAATTTACCAACTTTCTACGACGTACAGTAGTCGACTTTAAGTTAAGTTTTAAAATTTTAAACAAGCTTTGTTTCAAATTACAAATTTACAAGTAAACAAAGATAGCTTCTCTTTGTTTCCATTTTTATGTGTATCCATGCTGTTTGAAAGCTTAAGCTTGGTAGAAATCAAAATTTAAATTAAATACCGTTTATGTGGATTACTTCTGAATATTTGATCAAACGTAAAGAAATTATCCCGTTCGGCCTCACAGCCTGATAAAACCATCCACCGTCGCGTATTTCCATGCAACTCAGCCTAACACAAAACTGTCTACCATCGTCTAATTCCGCCGCTCTCAGCCTAATAAAACCATCAACCGTCGCATATCTCCGCCGCTTAGCCTAATAAAACCGTCTACCGTCGCGAATCTCCGCCATATAAAACCGTCTACCGTCGCAAATCTCCGCCTTATAAAACCGTCTCTAATCTAGGATATTCCTGGCTCAGTACCATGAGAAGGACATGGAGAGGATTCAGATGAAGTTGAAGCAGAAGCAAGAGGAGAAGATCAGGAAGAAAGAGAAGATGAAAGAGGATTGGGAGAAGGTTAAACGAATTGAGTCTTTGCGGCAAACTCAAATTTTTTAATTTCTATTTCTCGACAACCTGAAGATGGTGTAAACCTTTGATCATCTAAACTAAAATTTTTGATCTAACAGAATTCATAGATAGAAATATCTACAACATTGGAGTTCAAAGACAGGAATTATAAAATCAGAGTTTTTTGCGAAGACTCAATTCCTTTTATTAATCTTTTTTTACAAATCAATCTTACCGCTTCCAGAGGTAACACGCTTTTAATTTCCACCAAACTATATTACGATTATATATATTATGGAATTGGAATTGCCAAATTATTGTAAACACAAACTAAAAGCTAAATCTGAAAGAAATCCGATTTAGAAACAATATTAGCAGGGGATAGAGTAACAGTGTCATCGATTGAACTTGTAAACTTTAAAAAAGGAAAGATTAAAGTCTAACGGATATTTGTTAATTTAAGTTGCGCTTCTCATCGCGTGGCCGGGCGATGATAAAAACTAAATGAGAGGGGGAAAGCGTACCTTAAACCCCACGTGAAATAAACTTGTTCTGACAATTATGTTAGAGTGGTGCTTATTGGTTGCAACTTGCAAGGAGGTTTCCAATGTCCTTAAAAATACAATATCCAAGGGACATCCTATTATTGACCAGAGCCAGATTGAATTTAATCGCATTTTGGTCAATAATTCATTAATTTTTGAATTTACAGCTAGTGATCTTTTATATTTGTTCATAAAAAACGCAACCGTCGAAAAACAAAGCCAAAAATTTATTTTGAATTGGTCAAGTTCTGGTTGAAATGACCAACTGTTAAATCTAAGTGTAATGTATAGGCGTAACTCTAAGTGAGCCTCCGTTTTAAGAGTGACATGTCCGACTAACCACGTTACCCTTTCAAACCTGTATCTGAGTTACACTGAGAAGATAAATTTTTCGTTAAATCCCTTTATAAGAGAAACGACAATTTAAAATAATCCTTTTTTAAGCTAAAAAATAAAGATATTTCATTCGGATAAAGGTTTAAACGGGTACATGCAGTCTGTAAAGGTTTAAAGGTGTACATGCCACTCTATAAAGGTTTAAAAGGGACATGCCACTCTGTAAATGTTTAAAGGGGGACATGCCACTCTATAAAGGTTTAAAGGGGTACATGCAACTCTATAAAGGTTTAAAGGGGTACATGCCAATCTATAAAGGTTAAAGGGGTACATGCCACTCGGTAAAGGTTTAAAGGGGTAAATGCCACTCTATAAAGGTTTAAAGGGGTACATGCAACTCTATAAAGGTTTAAAGGGGTACATGCAACTCTATAAAGGTTTAAATGGGTACATGTAACTCTATAAAGTTTAAAGGGGTAAATGCCACTCTATAAAGGTTTAAAGGGGTACATGCCACTCTGTAAAGGTTTAAAGGGGTACATGACACTCAATGAATGTTTAAAGGTGTACATGCCACTCTGTAAAGGTTTAAAGGTGTACATGCCACTCTATAAATGTGGAGTACGGTCACTTAAATTACGTCTACACTCTACAGTTCCATTTATAAACAATTTTCTGGTTTAGACGACCCGACCCGTCCAGGTTAGACGGGATCAAGATCACGTGTTCAGGAATACAAAATCTGTAGAGGCAAGATGCAAAGCAAACAGGTTGGGTTTATATTTTATCAATAATCCAGTGATCAGATCATTTTTTCATCACTTCAGTGAGGACCAGAAAACTATGGAAGAGAAAGACGATCTTATAGCAATATTTAAGTGTGTTACAAAGCAAATAGTTTTACTCGAAACTTCCCGTCAGGACAAATGGAGGAAAATGTACGCTAGATTGTGACGTATGATTTAGGTTAATCAACTACACAGATCATCATTGTTATTAGGTGCAGTACGTGGAAGAGGGATTTGAAAATAAACCAAAATTTCGTGGAGGGGGGGGGGGTACTGCACCTAATAACAATGATCAGTGTAGTTGATTAACCTAAATACATACGTCACAATCTAGCGTACATTTTCCTCCATTTGTCCTGACGGGTATTAAATCACGTATCAAGTTAATGAGCCTGTTTACACTGCACAATTGCAATGACTTATATTCCTTCAGTGCAAAAGTCGTCTTCCTATTCAAGAGTTTTATGATTCTCACTGCATTTTATTTATCAAAAATTATTTATTACAGAAAGACATAACTTTTCACAGTTTAAAATATGTCAGTGCAAAGAACACTTTTCATCCGCAACATATAAAAAACTTCCGGGTTCTGAGCCCGCGATTTAAAAAATTCGAGAAAATACAGCTTGGGTCTAAGCTGTCGTTGGGCTTGAGCTTTCGGATTCAAGCTGCATCTTATTTTCCGCAGAGTTTAGAATATTCTATTTGGCGAATTTGAATGGTAGGAATTGGCGCATTCCGGGTTTTTATGAGAACAAGACTCAACATTGACCCGAGGGGAGGAAGGCCAACCACATCAATCTCTATTCCGAACCACATTCTCTTCATTTTCTCGTCCGAACCACATCGAAATCCTCGTTCTTTCAATATTATTTTTTTTAAGTGTCCGATCCTTGAAAATAAATACATTTTTTAAAAATATGGCGACGTTAGGGCATACACCATGACTAAAATAAAGTTTTCCAAGGATTTTGAGATGTTGGAATCTTCAAATCCACGAGAATGATGTCAAACATTATTTAGGTTAAAAATTGAATCTCTTCTGCCTCCAAAATGGATAACTCTCACAAATTAAAATTTATACCAAAGAATTCGCGTGAACATGGTCTTTAATCTTTCCATTTCAACCCATACAAAATAATCATTGATTTCTGATTTATTTACAAATAAGGTAGATTTGTTGTCCCCACTAAGAGATCACTTCTGCCTGCCGCATGCTTAAAATTATAGAAAAAATAATGTTCAATTTATATTATTCAAATCATTTGCTACAATTAATTGGTCACAACCCAATGAATTCAAACAGTATTTAATCATATAAAAATTGTAAGTCATATCTCTAACCCAAATTCAGCTTGAATATTACAAAAAGTTGTTTACATCGAGTTTGAGAATGTTTTGCGGCATTTTCCGCAAAAGAAAGGGCTCTTAAACAGACACTTTTTTGTAGAACATCGTTTATGGAGAATTTTCATGTTTACACAAATCTAAAATTCAATTGGGAAAATTTGATATTTTATCTATGCCCTAACGTCGCCATATTTTTAAAAAATGTATTTATTTTCAAGGATCAGACACTTAAAAAAATAATATTGAAAGGACGAGGATTTCGATGTGGTTCGGACGAGAAAATGATGGGAATGTGGTTCGGACTAGAGATTGATGTGGTTGGCCTTCCTCCCCACATGAGCCTTCTTCTCCACTAAAACCAACAACGGTCGGTTTTCTTTTCATTAGGCCTAACTCCTTAAGTCGAGCCAAAGATCTTGCATCTGCCAATCAAGTGACACAAGCTGTCGTCAGAGTTGGGTCTTAAAGTCAGGTTTAAGGAATTACGGCTCGAGTCGAAGTTTTTAAATCGCGAGCTCTGGGAAATTTGTTTTCCTCCAAAATATCTGAAAAATAACCAGACATAATTAATTATATGATTTTGTAATGTATAAATTCTAAGGTTAAGGACGGATAAATTATTATTGTTTACTCCAGGGAGAAGATTAACCTGATGTATCCGTCCCCTGATACTGGTAGGACCCGGAGAAGATCTATAGATTCTGCAGATATTTATCATCTAGGAAACCTTACAATTCTCATATATCGTCGACAAGGTTCAACTAAACCACAGATATCACAGATAGAACAAAATAAATTTCTTTTATTTAAAGTTCTTCGTCACTGCAAAATAGACAGAATGATAAAGTAAAATCCATGCGATGCATTTCCGGTACAACTTTGTGACCTCGTAGCTTATCTAGCTTTGATTTTATGCACACAATTATGAAAAGTACAAATTTATGCGGATACATTTTGGAAATTTATAACATTTTTGTTCATTTCAACAGCACTTTAATTGGAGGAGTTATGATTAAAAACATTTAAGATTTCAACAGCAGTTTATTTGGAGGAGTTATTATTAAAAAAATATAAGATTTAAACAGTACTTTTATTGGAGAAGTTATGATTAAAAACATATAAGATTTAAACAGCAGTTTATTTGGAGGAGTTATTATTAAAAACATTTAAGATTTAAACAGCACTTTTATTGGAGAAGTTATGATTAAAAACATATAAGATTTAAACAGCACTTTTATTGGAGAAGTTATGATTAAAAACATATAAGATTTCAATCTAACGTGCACATTACTTTAGGCGGACATATCATAATGGTTCATAGTAACCGTTTACAGTATACAACCTCTCCCATAATTCCCGAGCCCAGAGCCCGACATTTAAGAGTATCGTTGAACGAAACTCCCGAGTTTCCTTTTTGGGGTCTTAACATTTTGTAGATTTGATTTAAGAGATTCGACAAAAATGGAGAATATGGAGAAACTAAAAAGAAAAATATTTCATAACAAAAATATGGATATCCACAAAACTGCCTAACCCCATTCGTGAAACCCGGGTTACAAAGCTGGTTTTCATAATGATACCCTGTCTTAAGTTTTGGGCTCTAAACCCAAAACCTCAGACCCAGCTTCATTAACGGGATCAGGTAGTTTTGTTATAGATACCAATATTTGTATCAAGAAATATTATTTCATGTGGTTTTTTACACTTTTTTGTTTTGTTTTATGATTTACAAAATTACAATCTACGCAAATATATAGACCCCAAAAATCTACGCAAATATATAGACCCCAAAAAGGAAACTCGGAAGTTAATTTCGTTTAACGATACTAACTTAAATGTCTGGCTCCGCATTGCACTGAGCACATCTATAAAAGTTTAATAAGTACGATTTCAAGTAATTAAATGAAACTCTCAAACCCGTAAAAATATAATTTACTTGTTTCATCTTAAAATCTATTACTAAACCCCATCCATCATTCCGCCTGATCCTTTATTGAATTGATAAATGAATAGAATTGAAATGGTTCAGATAACCTGCCTCGGCTTGGAACTCCACATTGGAGAACTCTGATGTAGAACCAGAAATAATTAGAGAACTCTGATTTAAAACCAGGAATCATTGGAGAACTCTGATGTAAAACCAGGAATAATTGGTGAACTCTGATGTAAAACCAGGAATAATTGGAGAACTCTGATGTAAAACCAGGAATAATTGAAGAACTCTGATGTAAAACAAGGAATAATTGGAGAACTCGAGATGTAAAACCAAGAATAATTGGAGAACTCTGATAAAAAAGGAATCATTGGAGAACTATGATAAAAAACCAGGAATAATTGGAGAACTCTGATGTAAAACCAGGAATAATTGGAGAACTCTGATGTAAAACCAGGAATAATTGGAGAACTCTTTTGTAAAACCAGGAATAATTGAAGAACTCTGATGTAAAACCAGGAATCATTGAAGAACTCTGATGTAAAACCAGAAATCATTGAAGAACTCTGATGCAAAAACAAAAATCATTGAAGAACTCTGAATCTGATGTAAAACCAGGAATAATTGGAAGACTCTGATAAAAAACAAGGAATAATTGAAGAACTCTGATGTAGAACCAGGAATCATTGGAAAACTCTGATAAAAAACATGAACTTTTAGAGAACTGCTATACAATTGTCAATCAGATCCAGAAAATTAAAGAGGTTAAAATCATATGTTTCATTGAAGAGTGCCATACACTATTCACAGCAGTGACATATCATATCCTTTTTTTGGATAGAAGAATCAATCAGAATTACCTGGACGATCCCTTCTGAAGAAAATATAATTCAACAAACCCCGGTTAATTTTGTTAATCCGCGAATGCTTTCAGATAAAATCCGCTAAAAGTTAATGGTGTAATCCGTTAATGTTTATGCTTAACCCAACCTTTCTAAAATATGTTTTTTTTTTTTTTATTTGAATTAAAGTCCAAAAACCTTTCATTAGAAGGATACTTATATCTAATATAAGTTTCTTAACATTTTAGTTGAGGTTTGGTTCGGCAAAAAACCTACGGCTTTCATCGATACCGAAAAGTTGCTCGGGCCTATTTTCGAAACCGGGTTTTGTTTTCTAAACAAATTTCAGTTTATGATCTAGGCATGGTAGATTTACAATGTAAGCTCGCAAACATTAAACAAATTTTTGTTAGAAGAGATATAATAAGTTTATGCTCTGTAAACAAAAATATAAGTTAATTTTATTAATTAACATCAAAGTAACAGCATTGCCCGTATATATATGATTTGTACATAGAAAATTTTTAATTCTGGATCCTGGTATTTAATTTTAAGGCAGTCTTTATATACAAATATAATGATTTTTATTACTTTTTTATAGTAAGCCATTTTATACTTTGATACAGATTTGAATATGACCTGTAGCAGTATATTTGTACTTGTAAATAAATATACAGTGATAACCAGAAAACTGTGAAATAGGAAGACAACCTTTAAACTCAAGTTAGGACTTGAACTATAGTTTAATGAACATTAGAAATAGCAATTGTACAGTGTAAATAGACCCTTTTCACTTAAATTATGCTTTGCTAAGTTACTAGTAAAAATATTTGATTTGTAACAACATCTAACACGCTTAAGTATTGTTATAATGTCGTCTTTCTATTCCATTGTTTTCTGGTTATCACTGTATGTATAAATTAAATATCTAAACATGCATTAACGGATTTATAGGTGTAAGATTATGAATGAAATTACGTAAAAATAAAAAGGTATGAAAACATCTTATTCATTTCTCTCATTATTTTGTAACCTTATATTCTTTTAGTATTTTTAAAGGGAGTGACCAGCAATGTATGGTAATTGAACTAGAATGTAGTATTGTGGAGATTTTTTTTCAGGAATCATTTGAGACCTATGCATGATATGATTTTACGGTGCAAATTTGTTCGACAAGAGAGCAAATTCAACCTTTAAAATCCTCAGAGATTGTTCATTTTTGAGGGATGATTTTGAGAATCGGGTTTTAAACAAATTATTCAACAACGACGACGCAAAATGTAAAAATTCTACAGTTAACTAATTAGTTGTTAAGGAACAGGTTGAGAGATTAAAAACTAGCTATTATCATCGAAAATAAGTAATCTTATTCATTTATTGATTTCTGTAATGTCTCATTATTCTCAAAAATTTTCTGCAGATTTCCTGGAATTTTTTTAAAAGACGACATTTCAAGAATTTGAAGAAATCTGCGAATAAATTCATAAAGAATAAGAAATTCAATATATTGATGAAAAAGAAATAATTGATTCTGACATTGCTTTATTGAGGAAATTTTAATTGAGAAATATGTTCCTAAACATATAATCAGTACTGTAGACTTTTTCTTACATTTTTGTCGTCGCTATTTAATTATTTTCAAAAAATCAATTCTCAAAACGTAACCACCCATTTGGATGATTTTGAACGTTGGCTTTGCGCTCAAACTTAGTAATTATACATCATTATAACGTTTTATGTGTCTTAAATGAATCCTAAAAAATTTCTCCACAATACTACATTCTCAGTATAACTACAATACATTGTCAGTCACTCCCTTTAAAGAAAAATAATTGGAACCGAGTTCTTGTCACAAACTCAAATTTTCTAATCCCTAAATCTTTTCAACCTGATGGGGTAAACCTTTGATATTCTAAACTGGGACTTTTTGATCTAACAGAAGTCATAGTTTAAAATATCAAAAGTTCTTTTTCCTGACTCAGCTGAGGCTAAAAACTTTTGGTCGAGTTAGCGCTTAGCTTGCTTCATCGTCTTAACTTAATATCCTTTAAATTGAAGGATTTAAGTTTAATTCCAGGAATATACAGGGTGTCCCACGAAACATGACAGTTGATGAGTTAGATATTCAACAATTTTTGCAGTTTATTTCGTAAATCAAATCTTTACTCAATATATTTTACTTTGAAATCATTGTTTTTAAAGATTGTTCTAATGCAATCCAAGTAAGTCATAAACTCCAACTGAATATAATAAATCTTTATCATAACATTTTTAAAGGTTGAAGAAGAAAAGGTTATGGGTGAGAAAGGAAACCCCTGCTAAGTATATTAAACAATTTTAAATTGCTTCATAATCTAAGTTATTGTAAAATCTATATATTATTATTCATAAAGTAGAAAACAAAATTTTCTAAAATATTAAAAACTAAATTATTATTAAATCCGTTATTTCCAATAATTAACGCCCTTTTGCAGTTCTTGAATCTGCTAAATAAACAGTAGGGAGGTAATGTTACATCGTCAATATTCAACATCCCCCCTACTGAACTTCTGACCTACTAACTTTCCGACCTACTGCAATAGGCTAGGGGTTCGAGCGCCGCGACTAGGACAGGCTAGAGGGCCGGGCGCTGCGGCTACAAGCCCATATAGCAGCTGTAAAATCATGTGCCAGTAAGTCGGATGTGTAGTATAGCGGATTTGCGTTGGTCGAAAAATATACCATCCAGTAGGGAATTAGCAAATGTTTAGGTATAATGTCGTCTTCGTTTTTTAATTTAATCGTATGCAGTTTTAACCGAGCTGGCAACTTAAGAAATGCGGATATCGAGATCAATTCATCGTCCTTTTTGTGTTTATTTGCAAATTAGAATATTCTTTATTTTGATATCCAAGAAAGAGGTAAGAAATTAAACCAATCAGAGTGCCGTTTGCATAAACAGAACAGCCAATTAGAAGCCGGAAAATTTTGTGCATAATCAATGAGAGAACTCTCATTGGTTGAAACCCAGGAGGGATATCGAAAAGAGAGGATTCAGCGGAAAATCATAAGTATCCACAGTGGATGCACTTAGATAAAGCAAACGGGATCCAAGGTATCAAACACAAGAGTTTTCAGCTCTAATTTTCTTTTGCAAATTTGTTCCATGTTCAGAAATTTTGCATTTTTAATCCCTTTATTATATCTTTCTCAGGTAGACGAAGTTTTTTTTTATATCTGTTAAACGTCAGAAAAAAAATCTACCATCGGCTGAGATCCCGAGTGGAGTCAGATAAACGAATATTTAATTAGTTTAAAATAAAAGTTTCCGCTGCGGATATTGAGATTAAGCGTTGAAAATTATCTACTACAAGAATTTTGAAAATGACCTCAGAGGTCTGAACTTCTGTATTGTAAATTTCGGGATCAAGTATTCACCTCCATCTTATACAGACCTCCTGATTTCAAACAAAAGTTTCCAACTCAGGACACATTTTCATAGAATTAAACTAGTTTTAAATATCGAGGGCAACAAATATATTATTCTGCTTTATATTGGTTTTCATTGTGTATTTTAAATTTTTTTCACATTTAGAACTGTTCCAGAATTGATCAGATTAACTAAAACGTTTAAAGTGTTTCAGTATTTAAGCTCTAAAGTGAAAAACTTTGTTTTAACACTTAAAATTTAAAATTTAAAAATTCTGAGTAAAAGCTTTTTGAAAAGACAATATTATGATAGATTTACGGCAAATCATTTACTTTTTAACCCATGGAAGATGGACATTATATAGACATTTGATTCAGCATCAATTTTAAGTTCATGAATTATGATAAAACTCTCATTATTTTTCTTAATAAACATGAAGACAGAATTCTATATCATCTTTTGTTCCAAGCGGGATTATTTTATAAACATTATTTTGTAGTATCACAGTTAAAGCACATTTAAAACCGAAAAGCAAAATGTGGCTGCCATTTTCACACCTTCAAAAAAATAAACAAAACTGTTCAATTGTTTAATATCTCTCGGTTAATTTGAAATATGCTTAGAAGGTAGACCACATTTTGGAAAGCTCATTAGACTTTCAATCTTTATTTGAACTACTTTATGTCGTTTATCAACTATCGAAAATCAAAGACGATATTCAAGTCGTCTCTCAATTCCCATGTTTGTTGGGACACACTGTATAATGTATATTTTAAACATTAAACCTGAGTCAAAAGAATGTGGAATCATCTACTCAAGTTTATCTGACCATTTACCCGTTTTTTTCATTGTCTAAATGTACACAACATGAAGATAATATTGGTAGAAAACCAGTTCTAATTAGAAACACTTCAATCGAAAATAAAACCAAGTTTAAGGAAAAATTGTTACTCAATGACTGGACTCATGTTATGATAAATGAAGATCCTTCTACAGCCTTTTCTGAATTTTCTAACACTTTAAATAATATTTATGAAGAAAGCTTTCCATTTATCAAATATAAACCAAACAAAAATAAAAATTCTGTTAACCCTTGGTTCACTTCCGCCTTGCTAGTGTCAAGAAAACAAAAAGAAAAATTATTTAAGAAAAAAATCCTGAATCCAACTACAAACAATTTAGAAACTTTTAGAAAATATAATTCTGTTTATCGCACAACAATAAAAAAGGCCAAGACTAGTTATTTTTCTTCAAAATTTACAGAATACTCAAAAGACATCAAAAAGACCTGGTCTTTACTGAACTCTATTATATCTTCTAAGAAAAAAAGTCATTCANAAAAGAAAAGTCGCCAAGATCTATTTAGATAGTTATGCAAATTATATCTGTAAAAAAAAAAACTGTGTATCATGTGGATAAACTTAGTCTTTACTATCTTCTTCACCCTGTAGTTCATAAACATGATTCTAATAACTTATGTTACCCTCTGTTCCAACCCTTACGCTGAGTATCCTCCCTTTTCTTTATACTCCCTCACCTCCTCCTTACCTTTTACCTGATTTATTATCATTCTTATGTTTAAAATGTACAATGTACATTGTTTTTATCTGCAATTCTCATTCGTTTATAGTGGGCCACCCAATTAAAACAACCTGCTCTGGTTAGGCGGGTCCAAACTACATAGTAAATTGTGATTTTTTTATTTATATTATCTCGTGCTTTGTAGTTGAATAAAAATATGAAAATGAAACCTTTTTGACTTCAAATGTTCAAAATTTAGAAATTCCAAAACTGTTCTATCGTTTCTTCAGTCTAATTAAAATATGTATCTTAGTTTACAAGTTATTTTTTTAAAATGTACTCAGTGGAACCAGAAATGTGGAACCGGAAATGCACTCAGTGGAACCGGAAATGCTCTTAGTGGAACCGGAAGACGAAGCTTCTAGACTGAAGTTAAAATTTATTGATAGACCAATTAAAAATGAAAAAAGCAATTGTTCAGTGTAAACAGAGTAATTCACTTATTAAGCTGAGTTACAAGCATATTGGATAAACTTGCCTTTACAGCAACATTATATACAAATAAATAAGATTGCTTAAATGTCAACTTTTCATTCCGTCCCAGTGTATAAAATCGATTATTATTTAAAACAAATCTATCAATGCTCCTGCTATGTGAAATGTAAGTAACAAATAAATAGTTCATCATTAAGTATATTATCTTTTGAAATGGTTGTACTTGTATACTGCTGTGGATCAAATTCTAAATTTTTGTTATTTAATAAAAATCTCATTAAACCTTAAAAACATTTTTATATCTTGTTTTTCCCATCTTCAAGTTTCCCTATTTTGTTTTATTTTTCCATCAGATGTCAGCTTTTACATTTTTTTATTCATCACTTTTGATGAGACTACAGATTATACAGGAGAGGACAGGTGAGTTTATATGCAGTATTTTATAAACTATATTATTATGAATTATAATTACATCTTAGAATACAAAATCATCTTTCATTCCCAAAACTGCACTATTCAGGAACGAGTACATACAGTGCACCCCCAAAAACTTTGCAGTGTCGGTATTGGGTACTGAGGGAACAATTTTTGTTTAGTTTTTACAATCAAGGTGTTATTGTTAGCTATTTTTTTAGGTGTAACTGTATCATCCAGTTCTCATACTTTTTCTTGTTAAAACCGCTTATGGAATAAAATCAAATTGCAGAGTTCCCTATTTATTTGTTGTTGAAACGTGAGCTCTTTGTCTAAGAGTTCTTTCTAAATAAATTCTAAATATTCCAACTGAAGCACAATTGTGCCCCATGTTTATTGGACTTATGATTTATCTGAAGTTTAACATGAGCTGAAAACTTTAGAATGGAATATCCTTAATCCCGATCGGCTAATTAATCTTGAGATTAATAATATGAGGAGAACAAGCATTATTTAATCTCGAGATTAAGAACAAGAGTGAATCAAGCATTAATCCCGATATCCTTTATCCGATTCGTTACGACATTTTCTGGCTTTGATTTAACTGAGATTTCCCAGGGTAGCTAGGCGAGGAAGTCGCTGCTAAATCATAACTAGAAAATATCTAACGAATCGGAGAATGTGCTCTCAACTGGTCTCAGTAAATGTAAGGAGAATTTCGGGGGGGGGGGGGAGGGTTTTGTTCGGTGACATTGGATGGGTCAATCTGCTGAACAATCCAATCAAGGAAAAACAGGTGAGGGTCGGACGGCGTATATGCCGTAAATCCCGTTTTGTGAAGTCATCTGCAGGTCGGAGGTAAAACGTGTGCGACCCGCCTTGTAATAAAATTGGAGATTGTAATAATAATGTTTTTCAGACATTAAAAATTTAAAAACTTTTGCTTTTGTCAAAACGTTTTGTTTGTCATTTTACATTATTAATTGCATTACAACTTACAAAGAAATGAGAACTAACAAGTTTTAGTGGAACCCTTGGTTTTGGCAGATTATTATGATCACCCTGTTATTCCGCAAGTATGCAGGGTGTCCCACATCATATCAGATCGTGAATCGGTCTAAATTACGATTTTCGTGACTAATTAGAAAATTTAAGAAGAATGAATCATTTTGAAAAATTAAATAAGGCTAATTTAAGAATTTTCTTGCGGAAAATACTAGTCTTTCGAGTATTATGGTTTTATTTTGGCGTTTAAACTCGGAGATAATCTAATACAGGGTGTCCCAATAAACATGGGAACACCATGGAAATTCAGTGACGAATTCGATATCGTCTTTTCAAATAATTCTTTGATTTAATATAGTGATACCTACTGAGAAAGCTGTAATCTGTAAGAGTTTCGTCTGCTATGTTCACATAATTTGTTTGTTTATGTTTTGACTGCATACAGTTGTACTTAGTAAAACATGAAAATTGCATTATACAAACTGAGTAAACTTGTCCGTCTTCACTGTTCATATTGCGGAGACATAGACACATTTTTACAGTCTTTTCATTAAATTAACTCTAGCAGACATAATAATATTATGGCTGTTGAAATTAGGTATTACAATGCTAATTCATAACAAAGACGATATCGAATTCTTCACTGAATTCCCATGTTTTTTGGGACACCCTGTATGATATGGGACGCTCTTTAGAAGATAGATAGAATTTAATAAACAATGTTTTCAGAACATAATATATTTTTTAACTTTTGCCAAAACGTTTTGTATTTGTAAGTATTTTAAAAATTGCATTACAAGCGAAAAAGAACTAACAAGTTTTCGCCGAACCCTTGATTTTGGCAGATTTTCATGACCTATTTTAAAATTAAGATTGATTAACCCCCCCCCTCCCCTCCCAACGGATTTTTTATTTTTATATTTTTGAGAACTAAAGAACCAGCCAAAAAAAAAAAAAATACGTTTTTTGGGTCTTTTTCAAAAAGGTTTATGTTCCTCCAGGGACACTGTGTCGAGTCTAGTTTTTGAATTCGGTATAAAGTAACATTTGAAGCCTTTTTCCATAATTAATATTGGCGTTTCCTAGTTTGTTTCAGTTTTAGAAGACTTATAATTTTAGATTGTCAGATCGTCTTTGAGGCTCTTTCTTTTTGGGTAACCCTGGATAATCATAACTTGCAAAGACCTTAAATCAACCTACCACTAGCTATATGTTTGGTTCTATTCAAATAAGCTAATTTTATAGTGGTTGCAAAGATTAGATCTAAATAAAAAATGTATAGAGTTTAAATCTAGTTTCCTAAATCAAAATGGATTCTAGTAAAATGGATGGCAACATGAAATTTTTTCATTCTTAGTACAGATGCATTCTGACGTCTCAAGTGTCACTTCAGTTTTTGTTTCTGACAAAATTAGTAATAGTAGCGATGATTTTAGAATAAAGTTTTTTTATTACAGTAAAATAAGTGCAATCTTATGCGTTCTATATTTTCTGTTTTTACACTTATTTATTTAATCTTGGAAAACATGCAAACTATTAAGAAAAAATTTAGTTTTCCTTGTTATATTTGACACTTGTGACGTCGTGTATAGTTGGTCCATTTCTCTGTTGCCACCTATTGTACTTTAAGTCAAGTTTCATAAATCAAAATATGTAGTTGTCTTGGACAGTTTTTAAAATTCTTTTAAATATGCTTTCTCCATTCTCCAAACGTTTCCAATGTCAAACTATTAATCCAATCTGAAAGTAAATTAAGATAAAAAAATTGAATATTTCATCTTTATTAATTAACTAATTAAACATTTGATATAAGTTGCTCAAAGCTGCAGTATGAATATCTAAGATTCTGTTTACACGAGTCATAATTAAATGCAGAAACTAAGAAATTTTAATAAAAACTTTGAGAGAAAATGTAATGTTTAAAACTGTATAGTCGGCTCTTCTTTTATTACAAGGATGCCTCCATACTTGAAAGTTTTAGAAAAAAAAACGTTGAAGAATTCTGAGCATTTTCATGAATATTTCATAAAATAAATAAAATAATATCACAATCCCTAGATACTAAGTACATTTGAGAGGGGTCACCAATCACCACCTCCGTGTTGTTATTCAGTTAAAATAATACCATTTAAGTAGCAAAAATAAATAATTTAACTAATTGTAGAAGTAGAATGCCGCGCGAAGGGATGCGGGGGGGGGAGATTTCATTATTTGGCACAGGAATACAGGATACAGGATATTGAATACATGATACAGGATACAGGATAGGGTTACAATAAACCCTGAATAGATTTAACAGCTGCGTCTAGGTTAGGATCTGCTGGATCCTCGTCTTCTATCGAGTCCAGGAGTCCGGTCAGATTAGTCAGGTCATCAGGAGTCTCAATCCCACCCCGGTCATGTAAATCTAGTATAGAGTTAATCGCGTTCTGTACAGAGTCATTATCCGCTCCCTCGGACCCAGGAGTTCCACGCGGATTGGATTCAAAAAGGTTTCCGTGGGAAAAGAATCTCATTCCTTCTCCGTCCTCCTCCTCGTCATCCTCGTCCTCAACCTCCTCTTCCAGCATGGATCGAACAGCTGCCTCTCCGCCAACATCCGCCAGCGTGAAGTCGTCATCACTGTCCGAACCAAACCTGGGCGATAACCTACTCTTTTTCCATTCTCCGCCGCTAAGATAATCTCCGCCTTCGTTGTCCTCGTTCTCCTCTAGTTCACGTTTAAGTGAAGCAGACCATCTGCCCGTGGTAGTTCGGTTAAACTTAAGTCCAACAAATGAACCTCCATGTTCTGGGGAGGAGAGATCAGTGCTCTGAGGTCGTGAGGATGAACTAAATATACTTCCAGTCTCTGTCAGTTCCTTCTTTAGGTTCGGGAAACTCATCAAGTTCGTCAAATTGACTCTAAGCTCTTTTTTAGAAGCTCCGGAATCATTCCGTGAACGAAATGAATCTAAACTTGCTTGAGAACTATTTCTAGATCTAAAAGATAGTTTTGAATCGGTAAATCTGAATAACCTTTCGTCTTCTAAAACAGGCATCTCGGAGAGATCCGGTTCCTTCTTAATATCCGCCAAAGGAAGAGGAGTAAGGCGCTGAGTTGAAACCCGATCTAGTTTCTTGCAAAATACTTTATGTTTGATATGTTCTTTGCCGGGAAATGACGAAGATTCATAAGGTTTTCCAACAACCTGTTCATACCTGGACTCCCAGGAGCTAGGGATCGGAGGAAATGCAGGTTCCGCTTTCTCCAGTAGATTTTCTAACTCATCCACCTGGTCTCCCTCGAGGTTTGGTTTTAGTTGAAGCTCGTTGATCCTTGAAACTATTCTGGCATATTCTTCTTTCTCTTTTGTTAAAGATGCTCGTTCGTCTGCTTCCCAGTGTCTAGCCAGCATAACCTCCTCGGAGCTGGAACACAGTCTAGTGCTCTCCTGGAGTAGCAGAATATGGTATTTACTCAGCATAGAGTGATATTTACCCAACAGGGCGATGGATTTAGTCTCAAACTCATCTTCAGACTGATTCCATTCCTCCAGGGTCATGTTGGGACTATCGAACACGTGATATCTGAGCAGGCGCTTACATGCGTCCTCCTTGCTCCGGAACGGAGTTTTAAAATTAGGATTCACAGCCTCTTGTTGATCTTTCTTGATCTGAGATTCGACCCAGGCAATTTTCTTAGCCTTGGTGATTACAGGGGGAAGGGTTGGTTGTCTGATTACTCCAAACTCCGGAGGATTTAAACTATGAAGCTCCGGGACTACTGTTGGAGGAGGACGGAGGGTTGGGAGGATAGTCTGAGGGACCATCGGAGGTCGGAGCAGCATCATTGGAGGTCGGGGCTGTTCAATTTGAATGGGAGGAAGTAAAGGTTGATTGAGCGGAGGTCGTCCTCCCTGCAATGTATGTATTTGTGAAGGTTGGAAGTTTAGTTTACGAATGAGATTCGATTTATTTTGAGCAATGAACGCCTGCTGTTGATCTGGAGGAAGATTAGATATCTTGGATTTGAACTCGGCGACAATTTTCTTCTGTACTTCAGTCAGCGGAGGAATTATGGAAGGTTGAGGTTGAGAAGGTTTGAGTTGTGGTGGCAGCGAGGAAGGATGGAATCCAGGGTTGGATTGAACTAGGGAGGGAGCTGCACCCTCCATTAGACTCTGAGCTGGTATATTTTGAGCAAGTTTGTTGAATGGGATTTGAGAAATGATTCTAGAATCTTGCTGAGCTCCCTGAAATAGAACTATCATTAACCAAGAATTCAGCAGTACAAAACATTCCCCAAGAATAAGCTTTTATCCTGGTTTTATGAGAGGAGAAATATATTGTAATCGTTCCAGAATAAACTTAATAAGTCCTTTTATTATATTTATTTTTGACGTTTTGACCCCTGTTTTAACACTTAAAATTTAAAANGCTTTTAATTGTGTCTTTATCTGTAAACATCTTTTCTTTGTACGGAAAAAAAACTAAAAAACAAATATTTTTTCAATTTTTTTTTCTCTTTTTTTTCCACGGGTATCGCAGGGCCCTTCACCTAGTAATTTATATTTTTTAAAGAGACATATATCACTTCATTCTTTCCATCAATGATATGTAAACTATATTTAGTGTTAAAAAATGTTTAAAATTTAGAATCCTTTAATTTCTTCTTCCTTAACCCTTCCCCAAGGAAATAAAATTTAGGCCCTGTGAATTTATTGAAGGAGTGAGGGATGTCTAGAATTAAATCAAGAAAGGTAGAATAAAATATTCCATCTAACCTGGATAAAATTAGGATTTGGACCGTTAGAACCTGCACCCGGTTGAGCTTGGCTCAGAGGAGGGTTGGGTCTCAGTAAGAAGTTAGGTTTAGGTTGGGTTAAATGAGCTCTGTAGGGAGATGGTTGAGGTATGCTGGGTTGTGAAACAGGCTGGTTAGATACTGGTCTCCCAGTGGATAGTATCTGATGTTGTTTAGCCTGGAGAGAAGCAAGCTCAGCTTCATCCTGAGGAGTCTTAACAATCTTAGCCTCAATATCAGATATCCTTTGTGCAACCATCTTAAACGTCTAAAAAATAATCAATAAGTTTCTGAATTTAAACGTTTTTGTATTGAAATAAAAGTTTATTCAACTTACGTTTTGCATTCCAGGAGATAGTTCGATTGTTTGAAACTTCTGAAGAGTAACTTGACCGTTGGGTCCCCTGACTAGTCTAGTGTTGGGTGGAGCATGCTGCATAGCTCGGATCTGGGATCCTGCTCCGCCCATACTCATCCCTGCCGGGGCGGGTATTGTGGTTTGGATTGTCACGTTCGGAGGTCCACCCTGAGCTGAGCTAGAGTCGAACCTTGGGGTTTGCTGTATCACAGATGAAGATTTCATTTGGTTGAGAGAATGCTCTTTTTGTCCCGAGGTCGGAGAGAGAAGAGGAGGCATCCGTCCTGGACTCAGTATATTTACGGTTCCGGAGCTACTTCGAGATCGTCCTCGTTTATCTCCAATTTGAGTTTTAGCTAAATTCTCGAGATAAGAGTTCTGAAACAATCCTCCTTCTTGAACCTTGGCACTCTCTGATATTGGAACCTGGGGGAGCAGGATGGGCATCGAGGGAGAAGGAATGTTTTCATTAAACACTCCGGAGTTTTTCACCGAGGATTTCATTGACGTGATCACCGGTGGTTCGGGAGATTTTACTCCATGAGGACGGGTTTGAGGGATAATTCTTCTGCTTGACAAGGAGTTAAAGATATCCTCCATCTTCTCTTCTTCACTCTTTATCCCAGGCTGCTGATGAAGGGTTTTTAATAGTTTTGAGATCTGCTCATCAGCATCCTGTAGAGGAGAAGGAGGGATTGATAAACTAGATAAATCTAGGGATGGAGGAGGTTTATGTATGTCTAGAGAACTCGGAGCTCGGGTTGGATCCCGGGACATCTCAAGCACTGGAGGACTAACCAGGGCAGACTGGGGCAGAGGTTGCTGAATACATTGGAGCAGATTGTTCCTTGAACTCAAGCTTTGAACTCCAGTCTCTAGAGCTCTAGCTGCTGCTACAGATGCCATCCCTGTAACCTCAAGCTTCTTGATTAGCTCAGTCTCTGATAGCGGGTTGAGTTGAGACGGAGTAGTTCGAACCTGGGGAACCTGAGATCCAAGAATACCCTGTAATATAGGAATTATGTCTAAAATGATTTTTTATTATTTTCAAAATATAAGAAATAATAAATCGAGTTCAGAGATTGGGTTGCTGGAAGGAATGCTAAATTGATAATAACAAACCGAAATTGTAAAATTTAAAAAAATTCTCTGAACTCATTGTTACAATAGGACGAGAATAATTTAACTCTAGAGCAAAGTTTAGTAAATAGGAAAGTAGTTGGACTACGTAGACTATATAAAACCACTGTTTTTGAACTTAAACCGGCGCACACAAGTGGATCAACTACTTCCCACTATTTCCTGGAATAATTAATTACCTGAATATTAGATTGTGTTGAGGAATATACAGAGGAGGATGAAGAGGAGGGATTAATGGAAGATGTATTGAAAACAGTGTTAAGAGATGATGGAGCAGTAGAGGAGAGGGATACTGAGGAATGGGATGAAAACTGCTGGATGGATGAAGTGTTCAACGGGGGTTGAAGGATGGTTGATGTACTGGTGGATGACTGATTAATGGATGACTGACTGATGAATGATGAAGCTCGCTGAGGAAATGAAGGATTGGATGAAGGAATAATCCCGGAGCTTGAACCTCCACTCTGAGAAAACAATTATTAGAATTTATACTTCAATGGTCTCCCAATTCAAGAAAATCAGAAATGCAATTCAACATCATTTTTCTCTCAATGGTCGAAAAAAAACACTTCAAAGTCTAGTTCTATTATTATTATTAGTTAACTGATTTATTTAAATTTTGATGAGAATGAATTAATAAGCATCTAACCAAAGATGAAAAGGGAATTTGCGGATTTACTAAAATGCAAGTTATCTGGTGAGTCATTGTGAGCATCTCAACTCCTTCTTAATACTAAACTTTATTGTTGCACTCGCATCCTTATCTTTCTGTTGATAAGGAAATCAATTTGATCAAGGTGTTTATGGGAGTGACCGGCAATGTATGGTAGCTGAGAATGTTGTGTTGTGAAGTATTTTTTTAGGATTCATTTGAGACATTTTAACGTTTTAATGATGCACAATTTCTGAGTTTGAGCGCAAAGTTGACTTTAAAAAATCATTCATTTGGGTGGTTACGTTTTGAGAATCAATTTTTTTAAAAGCTAGTAAATAACGACGACGAAAAATGTATTAAAAATTGTACAGTAATTAGCTATTTAGGAACATATTTCTCAATTGAAATTTTCTCAATAATACAAAATTAGTATCAATTATTTCATTTTCATCATTATATTTAATTTCTTTTTCTTAATGAATTTATTCGCAGATTTCTTCACATTCTTGAAATGTCGTCTTTGCAAAAAAAAAATTCCAGGAAATTTGTCTATAAATCAATGCTAGAATCAATAATTTCTTTTCTATCATCATATTGAAATTCTTAATCTTTACGAATTTGTTCGTAGATTTTAACAAATTCCTCAAATGTCGTCTATTCAATAATTGTGCGTGTTAAGCTGACACGTCATTTCTCCTGCATTTCTTAGATATATTCAGAATAGTTTTCCTACGCTACGTAAAATTAAAATAAAATAAAACCCCTTTAAATCACTTAAGGCTAATTAATAACAAAATTTTCTCACCTTAGGATTGTTCCGGCCGAATGTGGAGAAATCAAAATCATCTGGGTTCAGAGTGCTCTCCCCCGTTTTCTCAAAGAAGGATTTTAACTCATTTCTAGATCTAAATCGTTTCCCAGACGGGCCAATGATAAACACCTCGTATCTACCCGCGGATGCTCCGCTCTTCCTCTGAGACACCTTCCTATGCCAACCCGGCGGAAGGGTTTCATCCTCCATGAGCGGAGTTCTGTTTGGATCCATGGGTTGCCGAGTTCTAGCTGCAGGACGAGGAGAAGCTCTAGGTGGTGTAACAGCAGCGGGGGGTTGAGGTTCAGGTGTTGGAGGGGGTAGGTTAGGTTCAGGTGTCGGAGTAGGTTGAGAAGGAGTAGCACTACTCTGAAGAATAAACTGTCCGTCTGGTCCTTGGATCAGTTGAAAAGAAGATCCTGCACTTAATTGAGGAGCCATCATCTGACCTACTGAGTTAAGAACCTGGGATGGAACCAACTGAGAGCTCATTCCTTGTGGGGTAACTATTTGAGTTGTGCTCATCCTTGAACCCTGAGATAAGGTTTGAAGAACGGGCTGAGATTGTGAGGAGGACACCTGTGTGGTGTAGGTCATTGGTTGAGAAACATGTGACGTTAGCTGAGGAACGAATAGCTGTGGTCCATGTCCCTGTAGTATATCTGCCTGGGATAGATGTTGGGTATTGGATTCAGTTTCCGAGGACGAAGTTGATTCTTGAGAAGAATTAAGACTCTGAACCCCACTGATCTGATATCCAATATCTATATTAGATGAACTATCCTGGTTCTGATCCCAGCTGTCCAGATCATCAAGATCAAGACCGACATCTTTCATGAGAGCTCCTAGGTCTACTGTACCACTTTTCATTTGCTGGGAAGGTTCATCATCAAAGTCTCTTTTCTTTTTCTTAGATTTCTTCTTTTTTGGAGGAGACATTGCTGGGGGATCAGTACCCGGCCTGTGTTGCGTATTTTGTTGTATCACAGATTGACTCGGAGCAAGAATAGCACTTACTCCTAGATTCAGGTTTTCATGAGAAGATATCATCGGAGTAATTTGCCCAGCTGAGGTTTGTTGAAAGATTTGAGTTGTCTTTATTCCTAAATTGTTTCCTATACATGACTGTTGGGAGGAGGTGGGGGGTTGAAAGGTAAATCCCTGTGAGCTGTTAGGCATGATTGAAGCAGTAGAGAAGGTTATGTTTGGCGCAGCTTGGAATTGTATTTGTCCGGAGCTGTTTAAACCAGCCATCTGCATACCCCCAGAAGATGGAGTTGCGATCAAATTTTGACCCTGGAGTAGGGTTTGACCGAATGGCACAGCTATGAGCTTGGGTCCGGAGGAGGTTTGAATTTGTTGCATCTGAACCTGGTTCTGAATAAGTTTAACCTGCTGGTTACCCAGGATTCCTCTCTGTTGACCCTGCTGCAGGAAGAATTGACCGGCTAGCCCTGTCTGAGCTGCAGCTATAGGAACTATGGTAGGACTGGCTTGAAGAGCTGGATTGTTTGGTCGGAGAACAAACATGGGTCCACCAGAGGGCTGTTGAATTATCATTGGAGTCCCAGCATGCCCCGCCTGGGCCATCATCTGTCCCATGATGATGGGAGTGTGAGCTGGCTGCACGTTACTGATAACACCATTTTGATTGATGAAGAGCTGGGGAGCTGAGGAACTCACTGATCCAAGGGTAGGTTGAGTAGGTTGAGATACACCTTGGCCAGATACACGAACAGTTCCTGACTGTTGACTAACATTAGTGGTTGGTTTGGGAAGCAGTTGGGGCTGCTTACCCTTGCCATGACTAAAAGACAGGGAAGGTTGCGCCTGTGTTAAACTAATAGAAGAAGAAGTTACCATTCCATGCATTGATACATTAGGTTGCAACTGTATTTGATAAACCTGTCCCCCACTAACTATTGTCCCGTTGGAGTGAAGTTGCAAGGGTTGCATTCCTAGTTGGTTTCCGCTCAGAACGGTTCCGGGTAAAAGAGAGGTTCCCGTAATAACCGACCCTGTCGGAGAAGGTGTGGCAAGGAAGATTGAGTTTTGAGAGTTATTAACAGGCTGAGGGGACAACACCGGAGGACCTGGAGTGGATGAGATTCTTACACTTTGAGGAGACTGTGGTGGGGCGAGGGCGGCGGGGGATTTTGAATAGTATACATTGGCGGGAGATTGCGGCGGGGGAAGGTTAACGGGAGATTTCATAGGAAGGTAGGTTGCAGGAGAAGGGGGTTGTGCAGGGGAAGGTACGGAGAACTGATGCTGAGCTGGGGAGGGAGGAATGCTTGCAGGAGACTGCATCTGATGTGGAGAAGGAGGAATACTATGGTTTGCAGGAGAAGCATGATGAGAGTGTGGGGGTGAGTGTACACTATGAACACTACTAGACCGGAAAGGATGGTTGATATTATGCTGGGTGAGCATGGGTCCCCCTGGTGATGGAAGATTATAGCTAGGTGTTGCATGCGGGGGTTGTGGGTTATCAAATATATCCTGTCCCAGTACATCCAGTTCATCCACTGAAGAGGATGCATGCGTTCCTTCTCCAAGTACCCCGCCATCCAGATCCTATATAGACCCAGAGAAATTAATATTGATCCAACCCTTCTCCGGGGAAAAGAACAAATTTAAAAAATGAAAAAAGGTTCTTCACCCCGGTCTGAACTGTGCATGTTACAAGTTAGTGCAAAGTGTGCAGTGATTTTCAAAATGAATATCTCTTTGTCTGTAAAAACGGCTGAACCGATCGGACCCAAATTTTGTTTGGGACTTCAGAAGTTCACATGTCCCCAGGGAAGGTTTAAAGATGATCAAAATTTTAAAAAAGTGCCTATAACAAAATTCGATTATTATTTATTTTGAAAATCCACGATTTTTTTTCATTGTTTTACAATGTATACAAAGAGAAAATATTCAACAATTGAAAAAGAAGAGCCTAGTTTTTGAATATTCGTCTAATTTATGTTAAACCCTCGCTCTAATGAAAGAGAGGTAGATTCGCTGATACATAAATTTGTTTGTCGCCATTACAGATCAAAAGCAGGTTAAAAAATTATTTTAGTAATTTTTTTCAACAATTCATTTGCTTTCCATTTAAAACAAAAATTTCTTATCAATATTTCCCGATCAGGAATCTTGTATACAGTGGTTATTTAAAGGAACTGTACGCAAATTACAAATGACCATCCATTGAAAGTTGACAATGCCCGATTCACAGAAGTATTCTTGAAACATTTACATCTGGTCAATAATGTGCTTGATATTGTCGTTTTCCAAGGTTTAAGAGTGCTTCGTTCTAGTAATTTCTCTATGTTTTCCTGCAGTAGAGAAACCACAATTAGAAAACAATTATAAACATTAATATCTAATTAATACTTGATCAGACATATCTTTTAACGGTACCGTTGTGAATCGGGGATTTTCATCTTTGCATGGAGTTCCACTTGAAGTTACGCGTCTAGTCCCTTTAAGGTGCTGTTTATAGTATTAACTACAATTATTATTGAGAACAGAGGTTTCTGTTACAAGGATTGTGAGAAGTGATAAATAAGGTCGTTTCTACATATTTATTTCTTAGCAGAGAACTAGAGGAGAAAACTGAACACTCAGGTTTCAAACAATATAAATACCAGTCTTAGTTTCAAGGAGAGGCTTTTCGTTTTCTCACACCGATATTTCAAACTCTTAACGCCATATATTTTCTTACAAAAAACATCTCATTTTCCACCTTAAGTAATGTTTTTTTTTTAAATGTGACAGTCCCTTTATATTCAACCTACATAGTACATATGAAGTATGTACACATGCAATAAGATTGATATCTTTTCTCTCCTAAATTATTTTTGTTAACAACTGCCGTCCTTGAAAAATACAAAGTGTTGTGCAGAGTACAAGAATAGGTCCTGTATTCCAATGTACAGTGCATGTTCAATAACAAATTTTAGTGAAAACTGAAGATTATTGTACGTGCATCAACTTCAAACAAAAATACAAAGCTGAATAATGTTCAAAAGGGTCTGACAGGGATGTATATATTCCTAGAATTATATTTTCCCGGCCCACACAACAAATAATCATCAACTCTAAAAGCCTCATTAGACCCACCCCCTCAAAAATTTCTTAGTTTGATCAATTAAATATATATACACCCCTGATTTTTGTGAATAAATCGTTTAGCACACAAGTGGTTGAAATAAGCGCCATCTTTGTTATTCTGTGAGAAAGCTGTGAACTTATTCTTACACTGAATGAATCTATGTTGGGTAGATGCAGTAAACCAGGGTTTATCATCTCATCAACTTCCCTTTAATAACACATTCTAACCCATTAACTCTAAATTGTCAACATTACCCCCCCCCCTTCCTGCTCCTGCCCTCTCCCGTGCAAACATGCTCTAATGTGCCCGTATCTAATATATTCAGTTTCCAGGTTGTTTCTATGTTAGATCATATTTCAAAAAATAAAATTAATTTTGCTGAAGTATCATGAAAGCTAAACAATATGAAAATATGAAAAAATTGAATAAAAAACATATTTATTGATAAGAACTTACTGGTAGATGGTCGGAAGCATCATCAAGTAGAGATTCAAGCTGTCGTTCTAGTGCCTAGATGTCAATCAAAATATATTATTAATACATATTATGAACTATTAATTTTTTTTATATAATTTAATTATTTATATATATATATATATATAAAGATTTAGGAGGTTTAGCCTAGGGGGGTGCACTTTTGGCGAAATTTTTTTTTAATACCCCCCTAACGGTTGATGTGCACCCCCCTTAAAAACCCGGTATTAAGAAAAATTAACGTTTAAATTCTATATTAATATACCCAAAGTCTACCATAATTCCCAATCATTTTAAATTAAACCCCGCGAAAAAATATTGTAAATAAGATTAAGATACGAGAAAGAATTTGAGAAATAATCATAAAATGGACAAATTGTGACATTGTCGATTGATAAGAATAGTAAATATATATGTAAGTTTACTGTTTATTAAATTAGAGCCTGCCTCTGGCTTTTGGGAAGGTGCATGACTAGGGGGCAACAGGGGTACCGGCCCTCCTCCACTACGCGCCTGGGGGGGGGGGGGGTCCAAAAGGTAATATATCAGAAACTTTACCTGATCATCATGAAACTCATCTAACATAGAAAACCCATCATCCATGGGTTCTGGTTCAGGTTACTCCAGGTATGTAGACCAGGAGACTGGACAACTCTAAGGTTGGTTCTAGCGAAGGATGGTTTACTCTATCTGAGTATATGAGCCTGCATAGTTCACAGGCGGAATATTTATGTACAGTACGGTTCACAGCTCCAGGTCGACAGGATATAAACATCTGAAACAAAACTTTTGTAAAAATAGAATAAAAATATTTAGCTCAACTTTCGCAAATTTTTTTAATGAAGTCTAACTATGTGGGTGTCGTTGTGGCCGTGTTAAGTTGTTAGAGAAGTGATTCAACTTAGTCTATTCATAGTTCAACTACTTCGTGCTATTTAATAAATTGGTTCCCTGGTTTAGTATTAGACCGGAGACCCCTAGCCCTAGTCTAGGGTTTAATTCTATTCAGAAACCAATTACAAAGATGTGATTTTAACATTTAAATCAAAAATTAATTAACAACCATTTAAATGTTGCTTAACCAATGAAAATACATGTATTTTAAAAAAGGATACCCCCCCCCCCCCAGAAAAACAAAATATCCCAGCTTCAATTTTCAAGATGTGGAGACAAAAACTAAAAACAGAGTAGTATAAAGATAAAGTTTTGGACAGCGTCAGACTAAATGTAGAATACAGTGTCCAAATAATACCATATTACGTTCTATAAATAGAGATTTTATGCAGTTCTTTGCGTGTTCAAAGTATATGTTTTCCAAACCCCCCCCCCCCTTTCTCAGGAATAAAAGTTCCAACTACAATTTTTATGTTTTATGATGCTCAACTGGAATGTTTTGAAAAAAACTAGATGAATTTCAGAGGAAAAAAGTATAAAAAAATGTGAGAAGACCCTTTTCTATTTTTTCCCCAAGCTTAAAAAACATTCACCCACCCCAGGGGATTATATATGAAAATATTTAACCTAATGTTTGGTTTGAATGAAAAAGACTAGACCTAAACGAAGATTAGGTTCATTTTAAAGGTTTCTAAGAGTTAAATTTTGAGCTTTAGTACAACTGAACAAACTCGAATCTCAGGTTAAATATTGAGCATTGAAATTATTGAAAAACATTAGTGATTTATAAATACATAAAAGAAAATCTAAACATGGGAAGAGTGAAGAAAGTGTATACAAGGGAAGAGTGGAAGTGTAAACAATGGAAAAAAGGAAGTGTATGCAAGGAAAGGAAGGAAGTATATACAAGGGAAAAAAGGAAGTGTATACAAGAGAAGAGAGGAAGTGCATAAAAGGAAAGAGAGGAAGTATATACAAGGGAAGAGAGGAAATGTACACAAGGGAAAGAAGGTAATGTATACAGAGGAAGAGAGGAAGTGTATATAAGGGAAGATGGGAAGTGTATACAAGGGAAGAGAGGAAGTATATACAAGGGAAAAGAGGAAGTGTATACAAGGAAAGAGAGGAAGTGTATACAAGGGAAAGTAGGAAGAGTGTGGGAAGAGATGAAGTGTATACAAAGGAAGAGAGGAAGTGTATACAAGGGGAAGAAGGAAGTCTATTCAAGGGAAGAAAGGAAGGGTATACAAGGGAAGATAGGAAGTATATACAAGGGTAGAGAGGAAGTGTATAAAAGGGAAAGAAGGAAGTGTATACAAGGGAAGAGAGGAAGTATATACAAGGGAAAAGAGGAAGTGTATACAAGGGAAGAGGGGAAGTATTTACAAGAGAAGTGAGGAAGTATAAGGAAAGAGAGGAAGTGTATTCAAGGAAAAGTAGGAAGTGTATACAAGGAAAGAAGGAAGTGTATACAAGGGAAGAAAGGAAGGGTATATAAGGGAAGAGAGAAAGTATATACAAGGGTAGAGAGGCTGAGGAAGTGTATACAATGGAAGAGGGGAAGTATATACAAGAAAAGAGAGGAAGTGTATACAAGGGTAGAGAGGAAGTGTATACAAGGGAAAAAAGGAAGTGTATACAAGTGAAGAGAGGAAGTATATACAAGGGTAGAGAGGAAGTGTATACAATGGAAGAGGGGAAGTATATACAAGAAAAGAGAGGAAGTATATACAAGGGTAGTATACAAGGGAAAAAAGGAAGGGTATACAAGGGAAGATAGGAAGTATATACAAGGGTAGAGAGGAAGTGTATACAATGGAAGAGGGGAAGTATATACAAGAAAAGAGAGGAAGTATATACAAGGGTAGAGAGGAAGTGTATACAAGGGAAAGAAGGAAGTGTATACAAGGGAAGAGTGGAAGTTTATACAAGGGAAGAGGGGAAGTATTTACAAGGGAAGAGAGGAAGTATAAGGGAAGAGAGGAAGTATAAGGGAAGAGAGGAAGTGTATACAAGGGAAAGAAGGAAGTGTATACAAGGGAAGAAAGGATGGGTATACAAGGGAAGAGAGGAAGTATCAAGGGAAGAGAGGAAGTGTATACAAAGGAAATTACGAAGCTGGTAATCAGGAAAGTCCATTGAGAAAAGAAAAGTTGATCGATATCAAATATCAAACTCTACAATATGCAAGTCAAGTGGGAGAAGAGGGAATAAAGGAATCCTATTAAGTGCAGGCAATGGGAAATTTGACCCTAATTACTCAGCACTCGAATCCAGAAGTGGGAGTAGGGGGGAGAAAGCATAACAGCGAAGGGACAGGGTAGGGTAAGTCCTTGTAACACAAAAACGCTAAATCTATGCATGATGCGCATGCGTAGTTCCTTATCATGCAATTAAATGGGAAGCATGTAGGCGGTGCTAGGTGTAGGAGTGGCTTGACAAGCAATCCCTTGCGCAGCATAGACACTTGTTCCCGTTCCTTCCTAATTCACCAATACGCCATACACTCTCACCCGCCAATCCTGCGGCTCCGCAATATGACGCGGACCGAACTCCGCAACTTGACGTGGACCGGACTCCGCAACCAGGCCTAACTGGAATACGCATGCCCGGATTGACGCGTACCGGACTGCGCGGCTTGACTGGCCCTAGGACAGCAACGGTTGGACGGTCCCGTCCCTCCCTTCTACATTACGACTATACGACACACATTCTCTCAGTCAAACAACTTGGCTTAAGCTAAATACAAAACTACAAAAATGTCGCTTAAGCCCTGTTAAAAAGGGAAACATTCTGCATGACAATTGTGTTAATCCATATTTCTGTTTAGGACGGTTAGTGTAAAGAGTAAGGGTGTGTTGAACCCTGCGTGTGTATACAGCAGAGAGCCGGGCTTCAACTCATCTCAACTACCCGCCGCTACTGAGACCAAACACAAATATGAGAATATTCAAATATTTTCTTAAAAAACACTTTTTACACCCGGAAACCCTTGTCAGGACATGCCCTAAATGTTCACGAAACACTGTACACAACTCACTAGGCTGATTTCTCACTGTAATCGGGAAATTTATCTTTCTAAGTATAAGCTGAAAACAACTCACCCGTCATCGCAAACTCGCACTCTGGCCTGGGGTCTGAGAGACCAAAATCAGGGACTGTCAGACCTGTGACGTCACGCCACACAGACAAACAGGAATAGGATACAGACACTTATGCTGTATTCTTGACAATTACAGGAAATCAAGTTCCACTGCTAATTGCAATGCAACAATTATTTTTTACAATGAAAAGTGTTCAATTGTGTTAAAAAATTTGCAATTAGATATTTGTTTTTCTTTCACAACGATAAAGAATATATTGGGGGGGGGGGAGAACTAGAAAACAATTGCATTTTTAAAGGTTTCAAACCATTTTTGATTTTTTTATCCAAAAGTTCATTAATATTCATTCCCAAATATAATAGAAACCATCCATTTCCCCCTATAAACTGTTAAAAAATAAAAATTGTGTAGCTACATGGAAAATTGCTGTTTAAAGGACAGACCGGCCATGTAAGGTAGTTGAACTGATGCAGTGTTGTGGACAAATTCTTTAGGATTCATTTAAGACGTATAAAACTTTTTAAAGATATGTAAATCCTGAGTTTGAGCGCAAATTCCACGTTCAAAATCGCACTTTTGGGTGGATACGTTTTCAGAATCGGTTTTTTTAAATTATTAAATATGACGACGACGAAAAATAAAGTAAAAATTATACAGTAATCTGATTAGATCACCAGGGTCCATATAATGATATAATTAAATCTAATCATAGAGAATAGAATATATAGAGAGGAATTTAATAGAAAAAAGTGTAAAACGGCCATTTTGTTGTACTGTTTCCATACTGCAGGTGTACTTCAAATATTTATGCTATATAACCTGTTGGGCCCTGGAATATCATTTTATAGAAAATCTAAAATTTTTGTTAAAAGAAACCCAAATTATGAAATAGGCTGGTTTCATAATTGACCAATGATCATTTCACATAGACTCTATGCCTTCCACTATACAAACGATGATTTTCCGTTATAACTATAAATCAAATGATGTTTTTATTCACCTAATCCATTATAAAGTTTATTTAACAGCTTTAAAAATTTCGAAATTGAAATGAATAGTCTAGGGAACATACTGTATTAATGTACTCTACTGCATATAATTTGTGAACATTTACATGATTTGTACACTTTGAACTCCCTTTCAGGCTGAAAGGGACTGAAAAAATTCATACCAAGAGATTCTTTTAAATGCTCTCTATATATTCTATTATGCATCTAATCAATCCCAAATGTTGATTGATTACTATTAGGGGCAGAAATAAACCATGTTATTGTAAACAATTGGAAGTATAATGGTCAAGTTGTAGAAAAAATTCCATACCGCAGAATGTTTACTGTAAGGGAGTGTTTATTTTTCTGTAAATCATAATTTCTCTTATATTAAATACTAATATTTACATCTTTTAACACCTTAAATGCAGTACACATTTCTGAAGTGTAGTACATTTACACAAAAACTTGTCAAAATTCACAATGACATATAAAATAAACTTTCAAGCCCCTAAATGTACTTTCAACCCCGATCCCATTTGGGATCAGAATAGAATTACATGAAAGGTTAGGAACATATTTCTCAAAAGAAATTTGTCAATAAATCAATGCTAGAATCAATTATTTCGTTTCCATCATTATATTGAATCTCTCAATTTCTTTGAATTCTTTAAATGTTGTCTTTTCAATAATAATTCCAGAAAATCTGCAGAACATCTTTGTGAATAATGAGAAAATAGAAACTAATTGAACAAGATTACTTATTTTCGATGATAACTTGCTAAGATTAATTTTTTTTCTCAACCTGTTCCTAAACAACTAATTAGTTTACTGTAGAACTTTGTTTACATTTTTTGTCGTCGTTATATTTAATAGTTTTTTAAAAACCTATTCTGAAAACGTATCCACCCAAAAGTACGATTTTGAACGAAGACTTTGTGCTCAAACCCTGGAATTACAGATCTTTTAAAAGATTTATATGTCTCAAATGAATCCTAAAGAATTTGTCCATAACACTGCAATCTCAGTTTAACTACCTTACAAAGCCGGTCTGTCCCATTAAACTTTGTTTAAACTGCTTTTATACAAACTTTTATTCCAATAATGGCGCATTCAGGGTTCGATATAAGACTTTAATGAGTAATGACGACCTCTAAGTTAACATAATGAAATGAAAGTTGAACTTGAGACTTTCTGTCTTTATATAGTCAAATGATTTGTTAAGAAACTGATTAATTAATACATACAGTAATTAAGGAGCAATAAATGTTAGAAGAGTTATATGAATGCATGCTCGCCTTCAACGGATACCCCTCCCTGTACTTAGGGTCAAGGGCGTATACAGAAATAAATCTAGGGGGGGGGGGCAAGATTAGCGCGAAGCGCAAAATTTTTTTTTGCCCCCCCTAGGAGCTCCTAGGGGGGGGCAAAATTCGAACTGTAAATTCATAATACTTGGCTTCTTGGATATCAGGCATAAGTATAAGATACTTAAAAGGCACACATACAGTCCAAATAATTACCTTCTAAGCACTACTTTATCTCTCCTTCAAACAAAACTAGCAGAAAAAAACATTGTTTTTATTATACTTTTTACATTTTATTATACTTTTATAGGTATATTTAGTATTTAAACTAGAGATAGTAAAAGACATTTTTGAAAATAAAAACTTAACTTAAACTTAAATTCTATGAGATGAAAAGAAGTACAAAGGTCCAGAAAATAATTATGACTTGTAAAAGTTTCTGTTGTGAAAAAAAAGTAGGAGTACAATTTCTGCAATCTATTTAAAAGTTCTTCATTCATTTATATGTTTGCTAGTATGGCTGGCCAAATAGCGGAATCAAATGGGCTGAATTTTAGTGAGGAAACTCATGGTTACCCTTGGGGATAACATAAGCTAAATAAATTATAATTTTTTTGTNAGGCTAACTAACAGTTGATCAGTACACTCTGTTGATTAAATATAACACAACATCAAAATTTACTCATATTCATTTAATAGTTGTTTAAGTCTAATTAAAACAGTATGATTTATTAATTATATGCATAGAGTCCCATGTAAATGAAATGGTAATCTCCTGTAAACTTTCAGACTTTTAGCCCCCCTCCCCCCGCTCCCTTGACCTGTGTGCTATGTTTTATGAGTCTGTTTTTTTTTAGGCATTTCCATGGTGAGGGGTTTCCCCCTTGACCCTTGAAAAGCTTTTTTTTAAATGAATAAGAAATAAGATCATATCATTTTCATATTGCAAAGTCAAAGTAATAAATTATTACTTGACTCTGTTAGATAAGCAGTACTCCCTTAAAAGCTCAAATACACTTGTTAAAAAGGTTAGCCTTTATAGTGTGCATTGACAATGTAATAAAAACAACCATATACCACTGTAAAACCAAACCAAACATTGTTTAAAAAAATCATTAAAAACCCCCCAAAAAAATCTTTCGCCTGCAGCGCATCAGGTTGCACCCCCCCTGGTCAAATCCTGGCTACGGGCCTGCGTGATTACGATACTGCACTATCATTGGCTGAAATTCTAGTGACATAATGCGGACTATACAGTCTATATGTAATAATATTATCAATTATATCTTTTAAAAATGCAAAATCAAAATTAAAAAATTATAATAGAAGCAAACCTGAGATTCTCAGGCTCCTGTGGGATATAATTGTTTTCAAATTGGTTTCGTATTTGTTGAATATGATCTGTTTAATGCTAACTTTTATACAAAAAAGTATATATATGAATTTTCGTATAAATTTGACACAGTATTAAATAAATTTCTCGAGACAGGAACATCAGATAGATGTCTTATATGTATCGTTCATTGCCTGAGATTCTCAGGTTTCAGCCTATACCCCCTTTCATTTTTCCTTTACAGTACCATTAAAAGTGGTTAAAAAACTAACCAAAACGATTAACATTTACAGTTCCTTTAAAAGTCAATTGATTTTTTAACTTTATACCCATTTTACCCTTTCAATGAAGATTTTTCGTATCTTTTATTTTACACCTTTTTGTTGGACCAAAAATGTAGGATGCACTTCGCCGTAGTTAGGTTTACGGTTGAGTTATATATTATTTCTTTGGAGTAAAAATATATATATATATATCTACTTTAAAACAAATATAACCATTTGTCAACGTTCTTGTTGCATGATATGTAAAATTTAAATGATTAATAAATATAAATTATTTTTAATATATTTTAAAATTGAAAGTTTTAGCAGTTGAAACCATGTTTCAATTAAATTGAAAAAGATTGTTTTTATCGCAGGCACAATTTATTTTCTAGTAGGGAGGATTTGACTGTTATGAACGTTATTTCAATTCAATCTCTCTATTATATATCCATGCTCTCTAGGTGGAGTGTCAATCCAGACCTATTAGAAATCTTTGATACGTTTCCGAGGGATGTTTTTAGGCCCCACAGGGGCTGACTGCTCTGCCCCTCCCGGGAAAGTAAAAAAAATATGCCCCCCCCCCCCCACGTGGATTTAACGGTTCTGTCAATATTCCAGAAAGCTGTGACCTTCGATCACAATTTGACCCATTAAACATAATTTGTTAGCCTTTGTTTATAAAATACTTTTTTGTTGGTATATACATTTTGAATGAAAATGTATAATGTAAACAAATCCGTAATGTAAATGATTGTTGAGTTAAAGACCAAAACACGTTTGATTTCAAATAGAAGAAACCGAATGCTGCTCACTATGGTTAGTCCGGTGTGCCCCTGGACATAGGCGGCCGCTACCATTTATGTTGTAGCTTGCAGGTGTTTGGGATTTTTACGGTGAAATAAAGAATATCCTATATAGTTTTTTTTAAGCTTTTCTCCATTTTGATAAATATCCTGTGTGAATAGGGGGGGGGGGGGGATTTCCCCAAAATAAAGTTTTCCCCACTCATGGTACTTATATCCTTTTTCCCAAACACCCACCAGCTTGATTTGCATTTAAATTCCAGGTCATTAATTCCTCTAAAAAACTAACTTAA